ATATGTACCATATTATATTATTATATACCTCTAGGTACCTTAATATTATTAATATTAACTATGTGGTTATTTATGGCCTGTATAATTATAACGTTTAGGTAGTCACACAATATCACACCATATAATAATGAGTAATGAGAGAAATATAGGTGCATGCTTACAGTAAGAAACAGATTTGACTACCTATATGGGTATAAATGGCTAGATATAAATATATAATGTATCTAATGCTTGCTCCTTGTATGGAATACGTCAGTATTAAATATTTTGGACACCACTGTCTACTGCAGTAATATTGTATTGGAACCTGGAGTAGGTATAAATAATACGATACACCTATACATGTTATATGGTTACACCTACCGACGCATAATATCCGAGGTCGTCAAGCCAGCGGGTATAGCCGATTTTCGTAATATATTTACTAGCGTCCTCCGTAATATATTAGGTTTGAGAATAATAATATTATTATGCAATTCCGTTGTGTGCGTGTGTGACTGGCGGCTGTCGCGTTGAACCGCTTCCAAATAAGGAGCAGGTAGGCGAATCCACTGATGTCGTGTGTGTGCGCATGTTGTACGCCTGTATTAAAAAATTGCATGTACTATACTGTGTGTACTACCTACCTATATAAATGTATAATGTAACAGATATAAAATGCTATTATTATATGTTATTATTTTATATACATAGGTACCTACCAATATAGTCAATACCATTATATATAAATATATTATATAGATGCGGGTGACTACTTTTTTTCGATATTATAGGTAGGTATAGCCGGTATATATATATTGGTATCTACCGTGCGTGAGTAGTAGGTACAACAGTATTTTATTAGGTATGTTTTTAGTTGTTGACTAAGTTACTGTATAATGTAAGTATTACATTTGAATTCAATGACAAATCATTTCATACGTAAAACTATTCTAAGCTAAGATGGTCCGTCAGTCTACATTATTAAGTACCTACCTATATTGAATATTTTATGGTATATTTATATTGCTAACAATTAAAGTAATCCATTATATTATTATTTATTAGTAAGACAGTATAGATGGCTATGTTGAATTATTTTTTCTGATAACATGACATTTGAAAATGTAGATGATACCTACGTTTAAACTTTAAATATACGTTTCGTATCCATGAATAATATTTTTTATTATATAATTTTTAAATTACAACAGAATTACTAAAATCGTTATTCTTCGTTAAAATATCTAATTTCATTCAAATTTGAACTTTGAACGCTTTTTATTATAATTTTTTTTTAATTAATATGACTTTCAGATAATTTTTTTTGTATTATGGGTAAAAAAAACTTTTGAGGAATCATACCTATGTATTAAATTTTAAAATCTTGGATATAAAAAGACAATGTTTTTATGAATTTCTATACCTAATCAATAAAATAATTTGCCCATTTTCGTAATTTTGTCAAGATTCTAACTTAATAGAGTTTAAACGTGTTTTAAAAAAATATCGTGACTATAATATATTTTCGATATTTTTAATAGATAATAGATAATTATATACTTATACACGAGGACCCATGCATCAATTTTCATAATGTTTGATAAAATTAAATGTTTTGTTATCGACTTAAGTATCTATAACCTATTTAGAATATTTTGAGTTAACAAAAAAAAAACAAAATCGATGTATATAACCGAATAAATAATGATTTTATTTAAAAATTCTCGTTTTTCAGTCATTTGTTTTCCGATTTCCCGGTTATTATTAAAAGTAATGGTAATTTTTTACTTTTGATCTATAAATGAGTACCTAATGTATAGCTGATTTACCTTTTTTATTTTTATGTGGCACCACCTGCTGCACGTGGGGACTGAACACTGAACGTATGAACTTTTGCAGCATGTAAAGGAATACAGAATCGTTTATTCAACCAAAAGTCCAAAATCAAATATTTACAACATTGATTGTCCGAATGGATACATTCAGTTCTGAACTCACTTTTCCCATATACCTATAAGTACAATGTACATGATATGCGTACCTAATACCAGCTAATAACAAAATATAGAAAAGGGAAAATGCCTACACTCTGCCTGCAGCTCAGCAGTTGGTACCTATATATACCTATGCAAAAAAGTACAGAATTGAGAATTCGAGAGGAAATCACTCAATATGAAGTACCTCCTATAGTTCCTACCTATAGAATAACTTATGTTGGTATAAAATAGGCATTTAAATTTTTAAAAGACATTTTGAATGAGCAAATTTTTTCTCGTATAATATGTAGATAGTTAAGATAACTATAAACTAGGTAGATACAAGATACCTACCTACTCGAAAGACGAAAGGTAAGTGCTCTGATGTGTAAATTGTAAATAATATGGTCTAATAAACAAAAACCTTAAAATGTGCAAAATTTATTTTGGCAAATTCGGAATTCCTAATATTCCAATTCCCAAATGGGATTTATATTTCTCCCTACTAAATACTAATTATTTAACAGTTAACTATAAAAAAAAAATATGGAATACCTAGCTAGAAGTGTCTAAGCCTATAGTCATACATACAATTAAAGATTGGTATTGTACGTACCAGCTATACTATACGGATGACGGATTGCCCATTGAAAGATGAACATATTTTTGAACTAATAATGTTAATAATTTAATAAACATGAATCATGATGTGAATGTGTGAAACAGTAATAGCCAGTAAGTGTGACAATGACTTATATTTAAAATAAAATATACCTATTATAGATATGTATAACATACTTTATTAATTATGCCTAATAGCATAGCATAATATGTCGTATTATTTATTACCTATAATATTGTATTCTTTCTAACAAAATTTTGGTTTATCTGCTTTCATCGAAAGATTTGAAATGTAGGTATATAATTTATACATTGATCTTATATTATAGAGTTCAGTATTTCGATGTGTGTTTTACTGTTTTAGGTTCCTACATATTTTTTTAAAGTAGGTACCTATAGGTTGGACGGTTGGTATAATATTTACAGCACTTGTCGACAACACAGCCTCACGGGTAATACCTAGGTACAACTGTACAAGGTACTTATACCTACCTACGCGGTAACGGGTCGACGGTCGTAATCGTTATTATTGTACAGTACGTAATAATAATAAATAATAATAATAATAATAATATGGACATGTCGCGGGGGCGAAACCCGTCGGCGGCGCTACCGCCACTCACCGCCACAGCAACACCTGTCGACCTATCCGGTCGTCTTCGGCGGCGGTGGCGGCGAAAACGGAAGAGTGGGACAACGTTTCAAGTCGTGACTATATGTATATATTTTATTATACTGCCTACGTCTACGTGTCGTCATTCGTGTGTAACACCCATCCACCCACCCACCCACCTTGTGCCTTGTTCGTCCGGGTCAGAACCAGTCTCATTGCGCAACGCCGGAACCTTTCACTGACGACGACGACGACGACGACGACGTTCCGCCGCCACACGAAAAGTAAAAAATTTCCGTCTCACGTCGCGACGCGCTTTGTCCGCTGCAGTTGTCGCCGTTCGTCGTCGTAGCCGTTGTTGTCGTTGCGTCGTAACAGCGTCGCTCGCCGGATTCCGCCATTTTCCCGTTTGGCGGACACCGTTGACGGTCACTGCCAACCCCGTGAGTACCACTGCCCTATATTATACTTTGGTGCCCGCCCTTCACATTTTTGTCGTCATCCTAGTATCACCCCAAAAACGGATATCCGCTGCTATAGCCACAGGTAGTTGAGGGGATGTCACCCTCATCCCCCTGTTAGTTATCCGTCTTACAAACGTACAACGTACTAGGTAGGTAGCTATAGGTATTAAATTTGAGTTCAGCTGAACCAATTTGTATTGTTACTTGTTAGCTTTTATATTAGAGACTAGAGTGGATTTACCTAGTAGGTTGGTACCTAGGAGTCAAATACACAAAGGACATGTAAAATATTACAGTTCAAAAATGCTCATAATTCACTAACAAATTAAAATATTGTTAACACATTTACAGACACAGATTATGTTTTTAACTTTGTGTAGGTACTATGATAATTAAATATTAGTAAATCCACTCTAATAGCTAACAGTGCAAAATAGGTTCTGCTGAATGCAAATTGGCTATAATGTACATTTCTTAGGCGGATACAACACAAGCAGATGAGATATCCTCTCAAGGCATATGAATTTAACTATTATAACTGCCACTGAGGTTGCTAATATAGGTACGTTGCACTACACGAAGGAATGTGTGGGCTTTAGCTTTTGTGACCCCCAACCAGATCTACATATTATTACATTTTTATGACTTAATGACATTGATGAATTTATGCTTAGTGTTTGTAATGAACATAATGGAGAAATGTACCTACTACTTAGGTACCTAATTAAAAATAAATAGGTATAAATATAAAAAAAAAGCCTGTGGAATAGGGACAATATTTAACATTTTGAGACAGTCAAATCATTCTGGTCCCCTCCACACCAAAAGTTAAGCCTAGGTTAGGTCAATGTACCTTCCAAATTCTTGAAATTAAACTTAAATTAGGGGCATGTTGAAAATATCTCTTTTCACATGAACATTCATGAATTACAGAATTATAACAATAAAGTCATTGTAGTTCAAAGTACCTAGTAACACAAAAATAATTAGGTTCCCTTTTAAGGTCTAAACAGGTACATGCAATGATTGATAATTTTATCATTTTTGTCATTTTTGTCATGGACTAGGTATTTTTGGTATGAATACCAGTCAGCAGTATCCCGCTCAGTATACCAGCAAAGAAACCAAATATTATAAGATAGGAGTTAGGGAAGCTAGCACACCCTTGTCACTGAAGTAAATTCTAATATGCAGTTGAATGTACATGCAGTACCTGTAGCGGTATGAAGTATTATGTTTTATGTAGAGGCTCAATTGTTTTGTAGACACCAGGCTATCACATTTTTTACCATTATCTATATTAGACTAATTGGATGTATTAATTTATTTTTTCAGGGAAATACCATGGCCAATAAATGCATTCTTTTATTTGCAGTAAGTATTTATAAATAGACATTTATGTTCAAGGCCAATACCTATCAAATAGTATAGCTGTATATTGTATGGATAATCTAATGCTGACCTATTATAACAATCATATTTTAATGTAATTTAAAATAAAAATATTTTTTTCTATGGAATAATAGGTATTAACCACACTATTAAATAATATGTAGGTAGATAATTATTAAATTTAAAAGTTAAATTCCGTGTACCTTTACATTTTATTCTAATTCATTTTTATTTATGGCTGCTTAGTTGAAATATACCATATCTGTACGATTAGCAATACAATTTAATAGGTATATTTATAAATGCTATAATTATAGAAAAACTTCATTATCGAATAATCACTTTTATATTCCATACAATTACTTAATTTGAATGTATTTTCATTGAAGAATAAGTTTAGTTTATAAAGATTTTTTTGCTAATTGTATTTTATTGTATTAACTTATTTTATAAATTATTTTATTTACTTTAGTTTGCATTATGCTGTGTTCGTGCTGACCATCTGATGTCTAATGATGCTTTATCAGGTATAAACTCAAAAAAAAATATTTTAAATATGCTTATTTATTACTAACAACATTTTATTTATTTAATGTTTATTAGGTATTATTACTAGTTACTTTTTAAGTAAATTTATAAAAACACTTTTTATGAACACTTCTATTACCTAGTTTAAAAAAAAAAGATATTTTCTTTATGATTAACTTTTAAACCTAAACATGAACTAAAACAATAATTATTTTTTAAACATTGTACACACCACATATAGGTATTTATAATTTAGAGAACTATTAAACTGTTTTGTTTTGTTATCAACACAGATCTGAACGATATGTCTAAAGATATTACCATAGAATGTAATAATAAAGAAATAAGTGTGACCATTGATACAAAGTCAAAATCATTCACTGGAATAATTTACCCAAAGGGTTTATCAAAAAATTCTAGTTGTATGGCCGAATTCAATTATGAAAAAAGCCCTGTAGTTTATAAACTTCCATTAAGATCATGTAATACAATGAGTACATACCTAGTAAGTGAATGTGAATAATATAAAATACTAAGCAATATTAAATGTATACATAGGTACATATATTAAAAATAACAACAATATTTTTAGAATGATGGTTTAGTAGAATACTTCAATACAATAGTTTTACAACCTCATAGAAAATTGGTGACAAATCAGGGTAAAGGCTTTCATATTCGGTGTAAATATCAAACAAATGATCAGCTATTAACTAATGTGTTAAATATGAGGTAAGTTTTCTTATAATTAGTACTGCTTTGTATTATTTTAGAAAATACTTTTAATTATATTAGTAGGTAGTATTAGCAGTTTATACTTTGTGAAATTAATATAATACATTACTATTGTGTATAATATATTGTATAATAATTAAAACTATTATTGCCAAGATTAATTCGAAAAAACTAGGCATTTGTTTCTAAAAATATCTTTTTGCAACTCATTATTTGAGTATTAGGAAAAAATAATAAATACACTTCTGGTAGCCCATTATATATATTATATTTTTAATGATTTATAAAAATAACTGGTCATATCGAATATATTATATATATACATATATTATAATAAATAGATACTCATAAGTAGGCCATGGAACCTAATGCACTTATAAGTACTAAATATGCATGCACTTGTGCGGTTGTGCCCTTAAAAAGTACAAATATGCACTTATTGTTTTTTTTTTAAATGCAACATTTTATTAAAATACACATAACAACAGTACAAATATTTTACTAAACTAAACATAATTGCCAGATATAAATATATAATATAATTAAATAAATAATTAGCTTGACAAATATTCTTGAACTAAAATGTATTTTCTTTTAAAATGTTCCCATTAAATTATATATCTGTAGAGCATAAAAAAAAAATTTAAAAAACTTAGGAATTTAGAATCATGATACAATAATACTTAATGAATATATTGAAAATAAATATATTTATTATTTTTATCGCAACGTTTTCAAATTGTATTATCAATTTACCAATAATACTAATAAATGCAATAAAAAAATTGTAAAATTAAATGATATTATGGTCTAAAAATTATAAAATCACTAAATATGCAAAAATATGCTCTATACACTTTATATATGTTTAAATAATTTCATGTTTACTGAGCTATAAATTGTATAGCCCAATAAAAAAAACGCAAATGCAACAACTCCCAAGCCCTACTCATAAGAATTTATGCCTAATTAATTAATATTTTAATCCAATCATATAAAGTAAATTTAACATACCTAATGTGTGTGATTAGTGGTTGATTTTTAAAAATTTTGAAATAGTCAATAATATAGTTTTTTAATTTGTAATAAATAAATAATAACCTACATATATAAGTTATACTTTTATGATTTTTATAATTTTATAGCACAACTGATGAAGCAGCAATGATTGAAACTGCCAAGATGCCAACATGTACAATGAAAATTTTTTCTGGAAAAACTGTAAAACAAGATGTAGCAGAAAATGTGAAAATTGGAGATCCCTTGACGATGGTCATATCGATAAATAGTGAAGACATTTTTGGATTGTTTATTACAGACTGTTTGGTTCGTGATGGTTTGGGTTGGGGTGATCAGCGTCTTATTGATCAATCTGGGTATGTACAATTCTTCCATATGAAATTTAAAAAAAAATTAACATGTCAAATACAAATTAAAACTTAAAATTGATAAAATTAAAATTAACCATTCTCATTCGGTATACAATTTGTGAAACTTGTTATGAGATACTATCAATCATTTTCTTATCTATTTAAATTAATACGTTTTGATAATTTATGTTAGATGTTCAATTGAAGATGATATAATGGGACAATTCCAATACAGTGCCAACAAAACAACAGCAGTAGTGAATTTTCAAGCTCATAAGTTTCCTTATACTACCTCTGTATATTATCAATGTCACGTTCATTTATGTTTGAAAGCAAATGGAGGCTGTGCAAATACGGTAACTTTTTTAAAATAAAATTGCTATTACATGTTTTTAATTAATTAACATTTCAGCCACCAAATTGTAGTAATAGAAAACGTTTTCGGCGTGAAGACCAAACAATTGAAGATGAAAGTCCAGCTACAATAGAAGTATATAGCGGTCTTTATGTAAATGAAGGAGTAGATTCAGGTAATCCTGAACAGATGGATCAAGTAGCACGAGAAAAAGTATGTTTTATTGTATTATTTGTCTAATTTAAAGTTAAGGTATTTATGTAATAATTGGAAGATAAAGAAAGTTTTATATTATTATCTACTAAACATGGAATACTAAAATAAACAAAAAATAAGTATTACAGTCGTTACTCAATAATTCGAAATTCAGGTGACCGAGTTAAAAATTTTATTTATAGAGGTTTTCGATTTACCGAGTGTTCGGTAATGAAAATTATAGAACATAATATTATATACATTGTATTTATTATTTAATTTATTATACATTTATTTTGATATTTATTAATATAGGTATATTATTATATGTTATTAAAATAAATAAGTCAATGTAATAACATTTATTCACCAGTTTCAACTGCCACAATCATTTTTTATTTATCTGCGAGTGACAACACTTGTATTTTACAGGATATATATTCAGACTGACTATGTTTTATTTAATTTCAACAGCTGTTTACCTATTTCAGAGGTTTATTTATTTTGGTAAAATTATACGATTAAAGTCGAAAAACCACCGATAGACATTTCAAATTATCAAGGGGACCCAAATACCTAATATATTTTCTTCTAATTATAGAGGGTTTCTCAAGGGACCAAGTGTTTAGTTCAATTTAAGGAGTTTTTCGAATTATTGAGTAACGACTGTATTTGACCTACTGAAAGTTTGGTGAATTATGGATTTTACCAATAAAACTTTTTACGAATTATCTTTTTTGACAAAAAGTTGCTTTTTACAATTGTCTATTTAAATGTAATAACAATAATTATATTAATTTGTTACAGATTTTGGATGATCCTTACAATATTTGCATTTCTCAGCGTAATTTTGCTATAAGTATTGCTATAGCCGGACTTATCCTTATGCTTTTAACAGTAATAACAGCTTTAATATTGTTGATGAGAAGACACAAAAAGTCTGTTTCTTCAAGTGGAAGTTCAGTATACAGCGGCCCTTACACAAATACAGCATTTAGTCACACTAGTTAAATATCAATGATTAAGATTCTGTGGTGCTCTTTTATTAACATGTAACAAAATTTATTTTATATTCATAGTATGTAAGAAATGTCAAAGGTTATGAGATTTATTAAAATAATTTTATAACGTTTTAAAGCATAAAATTATTTTTAGTAATTTAGTATTTTTTATTAAATGAAATTTAATTTGAATCGCGGACATATATTAAGAAGAACTTCACTCTCATGAAAATGTGTTTTCAGTAATAGGTAGCATATTATTTAACTATTAGCTGCTCATATGGTCTAATTATTAGACTTATCCATTAACAACATTTAAGAAAGTATACAATTGTAGGAATATATTGTTATTAATATTTTTAAATTGTTTTAGATCAACTAGCCTTGTTGCATGCAAAAGATTGTATACTCTTATGATACTAACCATTTATATATATTTTTTAGATAAATATAATTTGTTTTGAGTTCCTGCTTTATATTTTGTCAAATCTAAATTTAGTTTTTATATCATGAAATAGTAAAAATGTATAAATTGTATTTTATATTTATATAGCATCTATTATGTAAATGGTTTGGAGTCTATTGTATTAATATATGTCCCTGATTTAAATATTTTATTAATATTTATATTACTTTATATTATACAATTAAAATATTTTAGAATTGTATTACATTACGAAATGCTATGATCAATGTAGTGTGATAATATTATTATTTTTATTAAATTAAATTATATCTTGATGTATTTAATATTGTGTTGTTATTTTAATAATTGGATAGATACAAAAACAGCGAGTGTCAAGAAAAACAAGTTTTAATACCAAATTTGGTAGTAGTATCAACATCAATAAAAAAACATAATATTAGCGTGTTTAAAATTCAACTAATAACATAAATTCAATGTTATAAAAACAAAGTTGTTTTTGTAGTAATTGATGTTATATAATCAAGACAATTAAGTTTTAACAATATTTTCTCAGGAACACTTCATACACAGTTGTATTTTTCTAAGAAGTAGGAAAAATTAAATTTTTTTATTTTCTATACAATTGCAAGATGTGCCACTCATACCATAGTTTTGACTACTGCTAATCTTACACTGTATCAAAGTGTCGCTTTCTTTGATAACCTTTCAAATGAGTACCTACTCATACATTGTTATTTACCTAGACTCGTATTGCAAATTATTTGGCAGGCTTTGTTCCAGTCAACAGAAATGCAACTGAATATGCAAGTTTAAATTAAATTATTGTTACAGGTTTTTTTTCATAATGTCTGTTTTAAAAATAACTAGCTGCTAACTGCTAGATGAGTTTTACTGTATCACTATCTAGAAATTCACTAGACCAAACCAGTGTGAAAAATACTGCACCGGGATGTTTGGACCATATCATTTACATGGTTCATTATCCCGGTGCAAGAGAATGTGGGATAATTTTAAACTGGTCTAGCTTAGCAAATTTCTAGTATAACTTACTTTAGACTTAAGAGGTAGATGGCACAATAATTTCTTCCCAATCCCAAGGGTATGAGCAATTTCATTCCTTTATCATAACTTTCCTCTGCACCATTTGCTGCATTTGGCCAAACACAGATAAGTATGTATATAATTGAAATGAAGATAATTTTTTTTTAATGTGTATAATGTATATTGTTGATTAGTGATCGTTATCGAGTAACGACATATTTTGGCCAACAATTTAATTTTGAAGAAAATGTCAAAATGAAATTATAAAATATTTAAATATGTACCTACTTTTATATATTAGAATCAAAAATTAAAGAAGTATGTGTATGAAAAAAAAAATCATTATTGATTAAATAAAAATTTTTTTTTTTTATTGGGAACTAAAAAAGGAACTCGTTCATTTTCCAGAGGAACGACAAAGGAACAAATTCTTTTTTTTTTTAAGGTACTAGGAACGGAACAAATTTCTTTTTATAAGGAACTTTCCAAACACTGCCCTGTTATTTAAGATATATAAGTTACTTATTTATATTTTTTAATTGGTTTGGGTATTAAAACAAGTTTTTTATTTAAATTAAATAAAACAAAAATAACTTTCATAACATGATGGTGTATTAAAGAAGTTTTTTTTTTTACAAATACTTAAAAGCAATTTCACCTCTAATAAAAATAAACATAATAGCTAAATTTAAGTTTACATTTTATATATTAATACTTAACAACTGTTGTTCCAGTGTTATTATTCATCACGTGTACTTGTCCCATGGATTGATTGGACCCAGACTGACCAATATTTATTTTAAACTTGGCTTCAATTTGACTAGTTCAGATCCAATGTTAATTTAAAACTGTTATTATATAAATAAAATAATATGATCATAAATTACAATGTCAGATCGTTGTGCTCTCCTTTGTTATGCATATATATTTATACATTATACATATTATATTTACAAAGAAATAAAGAATAATTTACTAAGTATAAATCAGATCAAATGTTAGAGAGAATATCCATAACATTACTCGGAAGCATTGTCTCTAAACGATCAAGACAATAGTTTACTGGCACAATAATCCACATGCATATCTACAAAAATTAAAGACATTTTTAATTAAAATTTTACAGACTCCTTAATATATTGATATTTTTTAACTTTAATTTATATTGAATATTGCACTATTAACTTACAATATAAACAAGATTTCCTGTGAATTGTGGATGGAGATATATCAGCAGAGCGAGTAATGCTGAAAAGGAACTTAGACCAGCCGTAAAATGAATAAAGAATGGCAAATCCTTTTTTGGAAAAACGCTTACTTTATGATAAGCTAAATTAACAAAAATATATAAATAATAATGAGAATATAAAGGAAACTACAAACATTATATTAAATGAATTACTTGGTAATAGTTCTCTGTCGGCCAACTCAGTACATGTGGGATAGGGATGGAATAAATATCCTTTTTCTAAAGGGTATGGAATTTGGTTAAACGCACTTTCCCATGTTACATTAAGCACCGCCAATGCTCCTTTTATCCGTTTCCAGTGTGCCAAGTGAAAAAATGCGTACGCCACAGCTTCTGAATCTCCTCTTTTTAGTATGTGTTCAGGAGGAAAAATATATGATTTCATTTCCAGTAAATACTAAAAAAAAAAAAAAAAACTATACAATCATAGAGAAAATACAATTAGGTTATATTAGCTTATGAGAAAAATATAAACTAATGGGTTTTTAATTTTTATAAAAATATTGGCATTTAAAACTATCAACTTATTGATAAAGTATTTTTATCACTAAAAAATGTTCTAGTCTAAGCTCTAAAATGTCTGTATTAGCTAACTATTATATTATTTTGAATGATATTCTTTTTGAAGGAACACATTTTTTTTGAATTTAAAAAAAAAAATAGATATGAACATTATTTTTAAAGTACATTATATTAATATTTAAAAAATAAAGGTACAAGAATATTCTGGTAATGAATGAATCTTTAAAATTTAAATATAATAATTTTTAATAACTAATAAGTCTGTAGTGTATTTGGAAAATATTGTATCCACATTAAAATTGTATATATTGAAATTATTTAGTTTCTTTTAATATACTTTTGGAACATGCGGATTAAATTCCACGGCTCGGTGAATAGCTTCAAGCGCCACTTCTTCAGCTTGGGTAAGCCCTTTTTTCAATGTATTTCCTACATTATATCTGCAAATAATCAAATAATTATTATTTTATAAGTAATTAAAAAAAAAAAAAAAATTATAGCATATAGTCAAATTAAATGCAATACAATACTATATACAAAAAATAATGTGCATGCGTAGTTAAAATTTTATATTTATGATGATGGAAATGATTAATTATTTGGATTAAATGTTTTAACAACTATTTAACATCCATTATTCTTTTTTAACATTTTATTTTTACCAATTGGTACAATTTTAATTGAAAATCTGATGATGTGTGTGAGGTTCATTTGTAAATATTTATTTGGTTTATAATCAAATAGAATACTAGATATTCAACAAAGAAGTTAATTTAGGAAAATATTAACATTCCTCATGTGGACCTAAATAATATATTTTATCATCATAACACTAAGAAGTTTGTTTCTAACAATGTAATAAATATTACCTATTAGTTTTCATTAATCATTCTGATTTTTGTAAAATTAACAGTATGGTTTTTAAATAATATGAATTATGATTCTAAATTTATCAATTATAAAAAATACAACATAGTTCATATCTCATGGGTATCAATATTAACAACTAACAAATATGATTGGATCATGTTTAAATACTAGAAACATATTATTTTTGTTAAATATTATCAACTAAGTCATATCTACTGAGCACTACTAAGATAGTACAATTATTACAATTAGATATTCAAATTTTAAGTTATGAATAACCTAAGTATATTTACAGCAATACAAGCTTATTTAACTAATTATCAATATCAAACAAATTACAAATATACATGCATGGATTTTAATAAACCTGAAATTTTCTATGCAAAGAACATAATTAGTATAATCGTATCAATAATAAATTTACTTGTCAGCGATAACACGGATTTTTAACAATGCAGAAGTATAACAGATGACCGCCGATTTAGGTAGATTTATATCATCGTATTTGGCTAGTACCGATTGTACATCGGCATATGACTGCGTTTCTAATAGTACTTCTATTAAGTTTTCGTGAACATTAAGTATGTTCATTATCGGAGGCATTTCCTTGCTTAACTGTTAATAATAAATCCTTTCATAAATATAGGTACACACACAAACACCCCACACACATACTACATACATACAAGATTCATTATTTATATGACTTTATTAGGACATTATGAAGAGAAAGTTCCGTATTAATTAATAAATCAATAATAAATACATTGAGAGCTTTAAATAAATCATTTATCTTTCCTTCAGCCATTAATACAAAACTATTATTTGAATTTTAAATGTAAAATTTAGAAGTACACAATAATTAATAAAATAATTAGGCTGTAATAGGTACAACGCAAAACATTAGTTATATTATTCTTAGTAACTTTATTAACCCATGACAAGTTTCAATTGAATATTTAATTAGATAACAAATTGAAATTAATTTTAACAAAAATTAAGTACATCACTATATAATATAAATATCAAAAAGTACACATAACACTGATTTAAAAATAAATAAATTTAATTAAATTGAATAATAAACAAATGAACAACTATCATACAATTAAATTGTTTAAGGTGCCCAGTACCAATTTAATTTTGATTACAAAAATACACTCAATGAGAATAGCAATTAGTAATAGTACTGTAGAATCAATCAATTGTGATCATTTTTTTTGAACTAATAAAGAGTTCTGTAAAAAAAAACCCCATATTATATGATTTTTCAAAATTATAAGTAGGGACAATGATTATTGATTAATATTTAGTTATTATAAAAGTGTATATTTCTATCATATTATATTATTGATTATTGTTATTAACTTTTAAGTCAATACCACCTTACCGTATAACAGTGAGAATAGGTTCATGTATTAAAATAAATCTAAATACTTGTATGCCATAGTAAAATTTATAACATACGTAAAATTGTTATATCCCCACAAATAATGTTCAATTTGAATTCAATGATAAATTATTGTATATGATAAAAACGATTCAAAGTGGCCAATGGGTGCCCATTAAGGGGTAACATGTCGCCCCCCCCCCCTCTCGACAAATGTGAAATTATGGTAATTTTTTTAATTGTAAATAATAAAATATTTTTACTGATTATATTATAATACATGGCATATATCACATAGGTGTGTCGTTTATCTATGTTGTATATCTATTTTCTGTTATTTAATTAAATCAATTTTGTTGGTTCTTAGTTATTTCTTATGATATAATCACTCCTTCTACCCTAGATTCTGATTGATGAGAACCATTGGGAATGACCTAATACTGACTTAATAAAATTTAAAATTTAAATTAAAAACTTATTTTATAGGTAATTAAAATTATTTTTCATATTTATTATTTGGCCTGTCCTAGTGAAATTGTTTATATAGTTTCACCTATGATGACGGTTATATATTATTGAAATTAAATTACAAATGTATTATGACCAAAATAACAGTTTGTTTTTAAAATATAGATACAAATTATAGATTCAAATTCTGTGAATATGTGTCATTTTTATTATAGGGTTATTTATTCACAGGGTTATTTTTTAGACAAATCTTATTCTATTCCGCATTGAACTCCATTTTTAAATGTTTTAATCTCAAACTTTATTGGATGTCTTTAAAAATTAGGCAGTTTTAAGTTTTTTTTTACAAATTATTTAGTATTATTATTTGAAATAAAATAAAAATACGAGTTCATTGTCATCTGTTGAGTCTTTTCCTTTCAGATAAAAAATAGTTATCAAAATCTGACAATTCTAAAAGGCCTGAGTGTTTTTCCTGTGAAGTAATTTTTGTTAATAAAATTCACCAAATTTTGAAAATTTTAAAAATCAGCACCAGACCCCTTAAGTTTATTTATCATTTTTGTAAGTTGGTTTATTAAAGGTTGAACATTCTAACTTTTTAATATATTTACATCATAGTTAATTTTCAAAGCACTATTCTTGTATAAATAATCTTACTAGGTTAAAACTCGTTTATTTTTATTATCAACACTATTTATGGTAAAGGAATTGTATATTGTCTACAACTAGAGTAAAGACTACGTTGACTGGACGACAAGTATAAATTTAGTTATTTAATTTCATCTAAATAATTCCAATTCTATTTTTTGATCATGTAAGTATCAGCCAGTTGAGCATTAACTATAATGTTACAATTATGTTATGATATTATAGTGACTTCAACTTGCCAAATAGAGTAATAGGTTGGATGCTAAAGAATATTTATTTTAAAAATATGTGAAAAGTTTACCTATATCTAAATAGCTTAATTTGTATAGTTTATGTTATGGTTATATCAAATGTATGTGTAATTTTAACATATCGCAGATGATGCACAGTTATAGTGATGCTGTATGTGAGTTATATACATATTATCAGAGTGATAAGACCATTAATTTAATTATACATTATATAAATCTATTTGTAAATAATTCATTGTTATTGTTTTAATATATAATGCAATATAATATGAAACTTAAATTACTAGAAACAAAAAAAAATTATTATTGGCATATTATTAATACATATAAATCATAACTATAAACTATTAATACCTATCAATTAATCTATGATAGGTTTACACTTGCATATTTTATTAGTTTACATTTATTTTGTTTTGTATCGAATATTGAAAATTATCCAGAAAGGTTAAATGTTTAAACATTTTAAATTTAAAAAACATTGAGGGCCTTAAGATGTTTTAATATTTTAAAACGCTTTAAAAAAATAAATAAAAAAAAGATAAAAAAATACAATAACATAACTGTATTACATTATGTAAATATATGTATGATTGTACAACCTTATTTATTATAAAATAATACATGGTTAAATAATAGTAGATGCTCTTTGTGTCATTCGCCTTATACTCAGTTTAAACAGCTTAAGTGTTTCAAATGAATTAATAAAATGCATTAATTAAAAAAGCTGTTTATATATTAATATAACTATATTAGTTTATCCCAATAATGACTTGGATCATAACATGAGTTTTGACTAGATATCTTAATTATGATCAACGGTTACAGTTGTATACAAAACTTGATATATCATTTGATAAAGCTATTAAACTAATATAATTTAATTGATTTGAGTTACAAACTTAATGAATACCATGAATAGATTTAAAATCCATAATGCATTATGTATAATGTATATTGAATAGTATTATTTATTATAAATTAAAGTGGAAAATGGACATGAACCCAAAATAATAAAATGCGATATATTTTAGATACATTGTCCAAATTACTTAATTACAAAATATGTAAACAATTCACAATAGTTATCCAAATTAGCCTTTTTTCATGCACCACTTTACTATTTAAATAATTAACAGAGCGAGTGGAATGAGGAATGTAGTAATGCTTCTTATGAAAACATAGTACACTAGTATTAGTTAAATAGTTATTCGACCATGTTTAGATTTATAAAGTTTGAAAGATTTAAAAAAATATTAATGAACATAGTTTCTGATAAACAATTTCAAAAAAAGAAATCTTATATATTTTATTATAAATATGATTAATATTATTATTAATATTTTATTGATTAATTTGATAAAAATATGATTAAGTAATACACATTAATTAACATTTCTCACTATATCCAACTTACAACATTTTCTAAAAAAATGACTGAAACAAAGAAAATAATTTCAACTTTAGGTATTTAAATTGAATCAGGAACCTTCACTTATCATAATTTTAATCAATTAGAAGTTTAAATATGATTAACTTAAAAAATATTATTTATAGATCTTGTACGTTCAATAATACCCAGAAAAAAACATTTGAAATAATATTTATGACAGCTACATCACCAACAAAATTAGGTTATTTTTAATTAAATATTATTTGAAGAATTATTATTGCTAAGCATTCTAATAATAAATTAAAAAGTTAATTGTTAATAGAATATTTTATACAATATCATTAACTTACGTCTCTAAACATTTTCACAGCTTCTTTTAACTTTCTTAGTTTCCTACAACACATAGCTATCCGCCTTTTGATATATATCAAAACATTTAAATCTCGTCCTGAAATAAATAAAAACAATATGGTATGTTATATCAATAAATTGTGAAGGTATAATAAATTTGTATATTATTTTGGAAAAATATTACAGAAGTGAATAAATTCAATTATGATATTAACACCATGTCATCAGATGTATCTAGTAATTTAATATTATCACATTTATGTATTTATCAACTTGTTTAATAATACAAATGTTTTCTCATTTAAAAACTTCTAATAAAGTATCCTACAGTCCTACAGGTAGGTAAATATATTTTTTATTCAATTAATATTAAGAACTCTTTTTGCTACTTGGTTTCAACAGTATCTAGTGAGGTAATGTGCATTGTTGTTTTAAAAATCAAGCTACTAATATAGTAATAGACTTGAAATCGTGAATACATTTTTTCTAACTCCTATTTGTTAAAATGTCTACCTACTGAACATAATATAGCATACTATTATATTTTGTAACTATTCTTTAGTATAAAATTTGTGATAAGACATATTTTTTTATAAGTATTGCACAACATAATTTAAATTATATTGATACCTACAATGCTTTTATTTAAAGACCTATCAATTTTTTTAATTGATAGATTTTAAAATATTTTTAATTATGATGTATAGGTAAATGGTTTTATAATTATAAAATAAATTACTGTGTTGCATTTCAATATTAGAATCCAGATGATGAGATTTTTGTGTTTTTTTGTAGTTTGCTTCAGCTAGCTTTAATGCTTTACGTAAAATTTTTTCAACTTTTAACATAGTTGGTGCTTCCTCTTCAGCTAACATGATAAGAGCTGTGACACAGTCTGCATTTTTTTCTAAAGCCAAATGTGCAGCTTTCACTCTTGCAGCAGGTACCCTTTCCCTCCATGCAGCTTGCATTACTTAATTAAAAATAAGGTATACATAAGTTATGATAGTTAATGCAATAATATATATAATGGCATATTTAGATTTTTTTTTCACTTTCGTAATCTGGTTTTCCATTATCTGCATCACAAATGAAAAATGCCTGATGGTCTTGAGCTGATAAATTCATATCGTAAAATGTCAAAGGTTCTCTTTTGGTAAAATTGTAGTATCTTGAATATTCTGCACCGCGAAAAAGTCCTAATGGATTTCTCCATACTTTGCATTCTAAAAAATTAATATTTTTAATTTAAATGAAATTGTTTATAAATAAAGCAAAATAGAGTAGCAAACGTTAAGCGCTAAAGAGAGTGGTTTGAATAACTTTATAAAAGTCGACATTGATATATTACAAAATAGAAACTATTAATCTCCTAAACCACCTATACTCTGTAAAACAAGATAAACATGACCAGACATTAAACAGTTTCAGTGTGGGAATTTGCACTTTGCAGTCGCGTGTTCTCTTACTGTACAGAGTATAGAAATAACTAGTACCTATAACTAAATGGATAAACAAGGAGGTTATCACCTATAATTAAAATGAATACGATTATTTTAAACTAACACCATATTAAGTTTTATATTTATAATAAACAATAAAGTTGGGGGTACAATACAGGTTCTACAGAATGCGAATGTGGTAGCAAACAAATAGTAAAAGTAACAAGTAAAAGTCAAAAGTAAAAAATTCCAAATAGTTTTTAAAAGCGTAGTGAAAAAGAAAAGAAAAAGGTGGACAAGTGGGTACCGTTTTGTTGTATAGTAGTTGTAATGGATGTGTTATATTTGAATACAATGATAAACCATTGTATACGAAAAACGATTCTGAGCGGTTAGCGTAATCTTTATAATATTATTAGTTTTTATTCGTTGTTATGGTGATAAACAAATCGTTAGAAATTAAAGTCCCATTTTTAGAGGTTTTTCGTGATTTGTCAGTAGTTTTTCTTGATGCTTTCTAAAACTACTTGGAATTTTCAATTTCGACCTCCTAAAAGTACCAACTAGGTTCACTTTTTAATCAGAAAAGATGCTGATCTCAAAAATCGAATCATGCTTACAATCTGAAATGTTGCTGACAGAAAAAAAAACACACATCATTGTAAAACCAATACATTCTTTCGCTCCGCTCAGAACCTAAAAATTAAGGAAAAACATAAATTTTTAAGCAAAATCGGTTTTCGACAAAATCGATTTTGGGTTTGTGTAACTGTAGATTCCTACATGAAGGTTGACTGAATGTTTTTAATAGCATTTTCTAAACAACATAACATTTTCAAAATATTTTGACTTATTTGAGCTGTTTACAGACGTTTTTAGTTTCCAATTTTTTTAGTTTTTTATTCTATAATTAATATCAATAAAATTTTATTTGTTGTGTAAAGCTTGAAAATTTTATAGACAGCTCCTAATATATTATTTCAAAGACAGATGAAAAATATTAAAAATCGAAAGTCACAATTTTTTTTTTTATTAGCATTTAAAGTTCAAATATTGACAAAATACGAAAATGTTTTAATTAATTTGAGTTAGAAATTCATAAAAAAATTTCTTTATAAATCTAAGATTTTTTTTTAATTCAAAGACAAATAAATGTAGGTACATGAAAATTTCACTGAATGTTTAGCTTATAAATTCCTATACTTTTCAAAATATTTTGACTCATTTTGATCTGTTAACGGAAATTTAAATTTAAACTTTGTTTTTTTGTTTTATGAATATCAATAAAGTTTTTTTAATGGACCAAGTTATAGTTAAAAATGTATACTATTTAATATTATCTTCACAAGTATAATCAATACTATAATAACATAATATTAGATGTTGGACGTAACAATGAAGGTATCGAAAAATTTCAATTTTCGTCTTGTGATTGGAATAAAAGTTCATATTAGTTTAAAATCTAAAATCCTTTATGTCTGAAAAGGACATGCCTAAATTATGTTTCTTTAAAGATGATATTTTATCAAAATGTTCAAAATGGGACTTAATTTTGTGTTAGTAAAAAATTTTAGATTCTTAACAGACCTGTTAATTTAAAGATAATCTAAGAAAATAAAAGCTCACAGTAAATAAAATAAACTTAAAATATGTTCAAGCATACACTTATGTTGGTTGATTATGAACACAAATGATAGTTGAACAGGGTTTATATGATAATAATATATTCTTAGTAGTGTTTCAGTAATATTTATCTTTAATACCACAATAAATAACAAAAAAAGCATAAGACTGTTTGAAAAAATAAAACAAAGTACATTATTTTTCAGTACATTATTGTACAAATTATGAATTTTTAATTCTTATCTACAAAAATTGAACATTTTATACATTTTAACTAAAAAATAATTTATACATTTTCAATATTATAAATACTGTTGAAATCTTAACTTTAAATGCTTATAAAAATATCTTGCCTATGTGTTTTTAATATTTTAAAACTGATATTGTAACAACATTTGACGAGTCTTGTATTACATTTTCAAGTTTTTTGACCAACGAATAAAATTTTATTGATATTTAAAGAAACAATAACAAAAAAAAAAAAAAAAAATTTGATAATGTTCGTAAATATGTTGAACATTTTATCAAGTATAGAAAATTATAAAATAAACATATGGTGTAAATTTTAAGCATCTACGGTTATTCATTTTTGAATTACAAAAATAAAAAAATAATTCCATGAGAAATTGAGTAAAATATATCCAATGTAAAAAATTGAACTTCAAATGCTCATAAAAATTTAATTTGACTTTCCGGCAAACATTTTTTTCTTGATAAAGATAGACAAAGTTATGAGGACTCTTGTATTCAATTTTAAAATCTTAGATTTAAAAAGAAAATTGTTTATAAATACAACTCAAAATAATTATCAAATTGTAGAGATTATTACAAATTTTGTCAAAAACATGAGATTTTCATAAAAACTATTTAGGATTTAAGCTCAACTTTTAAATTTTTACTAACAGATTTTTTGGACAGATCAATAATGTTTTTATCGACATTAATTAAAAAAAAACTAATAATAATAGAAAATGTCATATTCCTAGAAATAGCTCAACATAAATCAAAATATTTTTAAAATGTTATGATGTATAGAAAATGCTAACATAAACATTCAGTGAACATTGCATGTACATACGTTAATTTTTTTATACTGAAGTTGAAAATCAAACCATTACCTTGACTATTTATCGTTTATACAAACGAATAAAAAAAATAAAAAATACACATTGCAAAATCAATACATTCATCCGCTCAGAATCTTAAATAAAATAAATAAAACAATTATATTAAATGAATAAAAGAATTAACCAAGATACATATCAGATTGCCTGTTGTAAGACTTCTTAAGTTTAAAATTATTTTTATGTGTTGCAATGGTCAATGTTAGATTTAAGATGAATTGTTGTATGGTATGTAGGTTTATAGCATTAGAGTATGGCTTAAATATACTAGGTTATTGCAACAGTACCCCACTATTAAGGTGGATATATAGAGGTGTAAACACTTTGATTATAAATTGATTTAAAAATGTACACCAGTTATGATTGCCAGCAGGTGCGCTGACTACCCAATGAGGGTCATAATGTTCATATTTATAAACGAAAATAGGAAGCACAATGCTTGCAAAGCCATACAAATATAAAATAACAATTAAATTTAAATAATGAATAACTTATATGGATTTTGATTAACATAAATCTATCTTCAATTAAACAATTATTGATAACTATCCAAATTTTTTTTATGGTAATATTGATTTGTGGAGTAGATATAGATGCTGCTTATTGTAGTAAGCAAGTTACTACGCAACATTTAAAGTCCCGACAGTTAACATATTTAACATAATATACTGTAGATAGGTAATGGGCAGATATAGAAACTAGTTAAGCTTTTTGGTTGCACTTAATCAAAGAAACCATGGGGAGTATAACGCCAAAAACAAACGCGTAAACAAATTTGCGATTAATAAATGTAAGGCTCAAGGAGAAACGATATTCAAAATAATACCACAATAGATTAGCACGACTTTGCAATCATGTAGAATAGGCGGATGTGATATATGCGATAGAGTTATATGAGAGAATTCAATATAAAAAATAGTATGATTTATTATAATGAAATTGACAGTCACAAATTATCTGTCAGTACATTATAGTAATACGCAGAATAGATTAGCAATTTCGCAAGTGCATGGGCTAGGTCGATAGCCACAAGGACCACATCCGTTAGAACCGAGATACAGTATCACTAGGCAAGGGGAGCGGGGACCGGACTATAAGAGGGACCCCAAAACAGCCTGTATTCAGACGTGTCCACTCATCGCTACTGCAAGCACCTTCACGAGACTCTGTGTAGCGATTGTTATTTGGACTTAGCACCATTTATGATTTACTGGAACATTGAATAAACAACAGTATAATATTTACAATTGTGTTTTAATTATTCAACTAATACCCCATCGTCATAACAAAATGGTCTAGCTACCTGCAACGTTGATATACAGGTAGTCATCTGAACTACCAGTATATTACATTATCTATTTGTGTTATAATTAAAAATTACAATTTATTGAAACCATTGGCATATTATAAATATTAATTAAAGTAATGGTAAATTTACTATTTCCTTGATTTGCTATCTATGCTTGTCATAATATGTGTATTTTTGTAAAATCATATTGTAGTCATTCAAAGAATGGCATATTATTGAAAATACCATATTCTTACTCTATGAAAATATCGATCATATTTATGTGTATAATACCAGTATTTACATCATATTATCCTAATGTACTCTTTTGCAGTATTGTTATTCATTCAAGTACCTATACAACCTACTCTTTTTGTACGAACGTGGTTTAAAATGTATTTATTTTTTTACTTAGCTATGCCATAGAACAATATAGAAGCGAAACTCGATCAGCTGATTGGGGTCTTGGTTACCTATGACCTGAAGTCTGAACCTACGAAAAACATGAAAACGGTTCCACGCACCAACATGGTGTTAGACCCATGGTTACCAATATTATGAAAACGGTACCAAGACTATGGCGGGATATGCTACGCGGGGTCGGCTTGTTTACCATTCCCTATTTCACGTATGTCACGCCCCCCCCCCCTGGAGACCGTGTTCAAGGCCGCAATCGCCTAATTCGGCCAACGCAAGGAGTTTTGTACCCCTGGCTATGCCTCTTAAGTGTTTTGTGCTTGGATGTAATTCTGGGTTATCCAAACAAAATAAAATATACTAACAGAAGGGAATAAAACTGGCTTTGGTACTTCATTCTCCTGAAGTATATATTTCTTATACTAATTAATATTAATTATATTATTATATGTTATAATTATGTAAAAACAATAAAAAGTTCATATTAGGGTAAATAATTCATTACCTTTTAACACATAGTGGATACTTGGAATTTAAAAATAAAATAAATATATAACAAAAATATTAGTAGACATATTTGGAACATGGCTACCATATTTTAGTGTACCTACTAATTTAATTTAGGTATGTTCTTTATTTAAATTATATGTATGTAGAATATTCTATAATGATCATAATTTATCGTTGTCAAACTGATACACGGAAACAATAATAACCATAGTCTGTACTCTGTATTCCGTATTTGACATAGATGAGAGCTGTACCTACTGTCATACATAACTAGGAATCATATTCTTTCATTTCGTAGTAATTAAGTTACATTTTTTTAATTATTATGACACAATAAACATATTAAAATACTACAACTGGAATAATTGCAGAAAAAGCAATAACAAAGCATTTATAATAAAAAATAAAAATAAATTATTTATTTAGAATTATTAGAATGACATGAAACATAATTTCTTTATAAAAGTTAGATTTCTATCTCATATAGAAAAAAATAAGCATATTATACTATAAAATCTGAGCCCTAGTTATTACACTAATTCCATTAATTCTTGTATCATGTTTTTGTTTTTTTAAGGTACTTATTTGATATCTTATAATATTATATACCTGGTACTTGTTGATTATTATCGTTACCTCCACCAATCCACGGACTAATATAATTGAGTGAAAACTGCTCAATAAATGATACTCCATATTTTTGGAAATATATCCACTCTAGTATCTGAAAACAATAATTTTTATAGAAATTAATTTATAGCAAAACATTTTACATTTTATTATTACTATTCACTGTTATTACTCATTAGTCGTTACTAAAAAAATGTCTACAGGACCAAACAGTTGAGTATATGGATAGAAATTCATTTTTTATGAGTATTTGAAACTCAAATTTTTAGAACATTGGATATTCTCATGTTAAACGGTTTCTCATTGGCTAATTTTCTTCTTTTATTGTAATTCAAAAACAAATAACCAGAGATATTTAAAATTTTCAACGAATGTTTATTTTATTATTTTATATACATTATAATATTTTCAAAACATTTTATCTCATTTTTAGCTATTTGCCTATAGACATTTCAAATTCAAATTTTTAATTTTTCATGATAAAAATGTCAATAAAAAACTTTATAAAAAAGGTTTTGATGGGTCAAAATGCTTAAAAATATAATACAAGGATCCCCATAAGTGTTTACAGTAGCACTTAAATATTTACGATAAATATGCACATTTTATTATATAAGCATTTGATGTTTACATTTTGACAATTCTTCAAAATTAAAAAACTTAGTCAATCATTTAGTAGTTAAAAAAATATAAAATGTTCAGTTTTTATAGCTTAGGGGTAAATAAATTAAAAAAAAAGGTCTCATAAATAATTCATACTGTAACCAAAAAATTCAAGAAATATAAAATTACAGTTCTTTCTAAAGCATTTTAAGTTTAAATTTGTACGAATTTATATATTTAAAGAATCGTATTTCATATGCAATGATTTATCATTAAATTCAAATTTAACATAAATTTCTATTATTGACCCACCACACAGACAGAAGTCTGTTATGCACTTTTAATTTTTTTAATTCTCTTACAGAAACATGATTATTTTATTTATTTGCTAACAAATAAACACAATTGTTGTCTTTTTGATATTTGATATTTTTGTTTTTAATTATTAGTTTATTTGGGTTAGTTTAATTGAGTTTATTAGTTTATTTGTAATACATTTGCTCCAGCACACCAAATACTAAATTGAGTAAATTAATCAACATTTTGTATAACATAATTTGATTTTTAATCAAAACAAATTACAATAATTATTCATGGTATAAATTGATAAAGGTTTGAAGAGTTTACAATAATTTGAAAACTAATGACTACTAACCAGGATAAGCATTCATGTATGAAATACTAATTTTTGGTAGATGGGGAAAGGTAATTTTGGTATAAGTATTTATACAAGTTAAATAAGAATACTTTAAGTTCGGACTATAAACGTTTTTTTAAGGATAGTGTGTTATTTCAACAAAAAACAATTAATTTACTGTAAAATATTTACTTGATTAATTTTACACACAGCATTTTCAAATAATATTTTCATTGAACATTTAATACATTTTAATTGCTTTTTTCATATTTTATATAAAATATTGTTTATTCATGTTTTAAATTTTTTAAACAGAGTTCAAAAGTGTACACTAAAGAGCTTTCTCAAATAATATTTATCTTGCTTTTAATAATCGTGTACTTTTTAATTTAATAAACGTAGGTATCAATATTGAAACCTTAATTGATTAAAAGTAACTTTTTAAACTTAATACTGATAGAAGAAACATAACATTATTTATAAACAACATTGAAGATCTTACAATATTAAATAGACAAAATATTATTAACACAAATTTTAAGTACGATAGTAGATCCACAATTTTACTCGATATGTGTAATTTAATATAATTTATATATATCAAATGTAAAATGCTTATTTAAAATATATATATGTACTAAAAAGTAAAATCATACCATTATTAAAGCCGAGATGAATGATGAAGTTGCTGTAAGAGCAATGTAAAATTTTGGTGTCAATGAATCCATAAAAACTGCCACTGTAAAGAAATAAAGACATTTTAAAAAAAAACATAGGTAAAATAAAATTATTTTAAAATTTAAAACACCTAAATATTAATGTAAAAGTTATAACAAATAAAAATAACAACTAGAGCTTACACATAAATAATTAAGACTATACATTTGTAGTAAAATTATTTTTTTTAGTTTATTGTGATACATAACACTAAGTTTGGATTATGTAATAAATCATATTAGATTCTGAGCGGAGCGATGAATGTATTGATTTTACAATGATGTGTTTTTATATTTTTTTATTTGTGTCTGTGTACACAATAAGTAATCGAAATAATGCTTCGATTTTTAAATTCAGTAACTTATTAGATGGGAAAGTGAATCTAGTTGGTGCATTGTTTTGGAGGTTAAAATTTAAAATTAACAGTAATTTTCAATGAGCCGGGAAAAACAAAAAAAAAAAAAGTTAAGAAAAGGGAATTTTAGAGCAAAATGGTTTTCTGTGTTACTCTAAAACAAATTACCGTAGATATATGCAATTTTTACTGGTTGTATATATTAGCATTTTCTATACACGATAAAATTTTTAAAATATTTGGAATTGTTTTGAACTGTTTCCAATTGTTTTATTTTTTTTTCTATGAATGTCAATAAAATTTTATTTGTTGGGTAAAAAAGCTTGAAAATTGAATGCAAGGCTCTTAATAGATTTTTACAATAACTTTGGAAATATACTTAAAAACGAGAAATTTTTCTTTTTAAATCTAAGGTTTTAAAATGTAATACAAGATTACTTATAGGGTTATCTACCTTTGACAAAAAATATTTTTATGAAAGTTTGAAGTTCACATTTTTAAAACATTGGATATTCATTTGATTTCTCATGTAGTTTTTTTATTTTGTTGTATTTCAAAAACGAAAAATCATAGACACTTGAGATTTATATAAAATGTTTATTCTATCAATTTCTATGCTTGATAAAATTTTCAAAATATTTTGAATTGTTTTGAGCTGTTTACGGACAATTCCGAATTCCGAACTTCAATTTTTTTTTTAGTTTTTATTTCTATAAATATCATTAAATTGTATTTGTTGGTCCAAAAGCCGCCAACATTTAATACAAGGCTCCATATATATAGCTTAAATAGCAGTTAAAAAATATTAAAAATACATAGGCACAATTTTTTTTTATAAACATTTAAAGTTTGATTTTTGACATTTATCAAATTTAAAATTTAAAAATTTTTTAAAATTGTGTAGTTAAAAATGTACTAAATGTTCAACATCTATAGCTAAGGATTGGAAACTTACAAACCACCAAAACATCTCAAAAATATAAAAACACAGTCTTTTTTTATAGTTATTTTATGTTAAAATTTGGAATAAATTACATAATAAATAACCAAGAATAACAATTTATGTTATTCTGTTGTAATTTTATAATATTAATTCAACTTACCGGCTACCGTATTAATAATAAGTAATAACAATAGATATACATGTAATATAAAATATCTACACAGACAAACCATCACGGCTCAGAATCATTGAATTCAAATTTAATACCATCCATTATACAGTGACCCACTTGTAACCTACTGCACAGCAGAGCGACATCCACTTACCCTCTTTTTTACGTATAGTTTAACCATATTACAATTTTTTTTTTGCCTGTTTAGGTTATACAGGGTGTCCTGTGAGGATTTACTCATTGCGATATCTCCTGAAATAATAGAGATATCTTAATTCTGTTTTCTTATTAAGACTCACAGAGGTAAGCACTACAAATAACTAATTTTTTATTTATTTTTTATGTTTTGGTAAAAAAGTTAAAAAAATATTGAAGATTGCCATTTTGTAGGGTTCATTTTTCTGAAAATATTGACTTTTCAACATTTTAATTTCATTAATTTCCCGATTTTTAATAATTTTTTTAATTAATAAGTAAAACGGCAAAAAACCGGTTTTTGTCCGGGCGGCGAGTCCCCCTCTACGGCTAATAGGTAAATCCTTACGGGACACTCTGTATATTATTATTATTTGGTTTTTCCTGATGTATTCTAGCCCGGATTAATAGGGGGGGGGGGTCCAGGAGGGGCACGGTCCCGGGGCCCATTTTATCCCTAAAATATGTATTTTGTAATGTGTTCAAAATAGTTTTCAAAAAAATAAAATAATTTTAGTAGGTAGTAATTATAAAATAAAAATGTTCTTAATTTTATGTCAAGAAAAGTTACTAAATTTATAAAATTGATATCCTATGATGAAGTTTATAAAATGAAAGTTGTGCACTACCTATATCGTAGGTACGCATAGATTATAGTCCTTATTATCTATGATTGGCGATTCTATGTGGTAATATATAAAATACCTTATTTTTACAATTATTTTATGAACTATATTATACCTTTCAGAGGCTGTATACAGTGCAACTTCTTTTGATTTTAAAAGGTAGGTAATTAAAAATCATGATATCATTGCAACATTAAAGTTGAACATTTCAAGAAAAGATAATAATATGACACTAGGGAAATACTGTATGGATAAACAATCTACTATTGATATCTAATTTATCTTTTATTTAGTTTGGAAATAGACATTATACTAATAGACGGTACGTGGTTGTAGTTCCGGTGTCCAAGCGTGATGGCGCTGATCAAGGTAGTACAATGTACACTGCACTAGATGATTCAATACTCTGTATATTACTGTATACTACTGTATATATATACATATCACTGTAAAGCAAACCGCACCACCCACCCGCATCCCGATTGTATGTTCCGTCTATTAGTATAAGGTCCATGAGTTAGGACTACTTTGAAGTAATCAATCGTTTTGTACAAGAACATAACTTTTATTAATTTAAAGCAATTATCAAAAAGAATAAATGAATAATGCTCCCACAAATAAACAGTGATGGAATTGGGAAAAATTAAGTAGAGGAGCTCAATCCAACAATTTAAAAACTAGCAATATCTACATCTTACATTGTTACAGGAGAAAAAAAAATTAACAATAATCTACCTGTTTATTCAATATACTAAATAGATAAAAAAATTAATAATTATTATTTTTGATTCAAAAGAGACCACAAATTTTGATAAGTATAAAAAAATTAAAAATTTAAAAATTCAAAAACGCTGATAAATGATCACTATAACTGAAACTGATAACATTTCAATCGGAACACGATTTAATATAGTACTAGCACACATGAGTATCTGTGCTTTAGACAAAATACTTGTATAGTATGATCTATGAACTACTGACTATATAGGCAAAACACAGGGTGATATTATAATTAATTAATAAACTAATATCAAAAATAATTTTGATATGAAAAATAGTAAAACTTGTTATATAATTAACATCAATTGACATCAATCCACATTTAAATAAAAATTATTTCGGACATTAGTTTGTACTGTAAATAAATAGATTTTTTCATTACCTGAAGTAAATACCACTAGGTATAATATGTTAGATAGATACCTAGGTACCATCCAATGGTGTGTTCTTATAATATCATGCGTAAAATAGAAGTGAACTGGATATCGTACAAATTAAGTAGGTAATAGACAATGAAATTGTTTCTTCTTTTAATAAATCTACTTTATTTAGTACAGTAAAAAAAATAAAACTACAGTTAAAAATCATTATGATGTAACTATTATAGTCCTATATAAAAGTAATGATACAGTAAGTTATTTATAATAAACAAAACCGGGATTAGCTCCTTATTTAAAAGTTAACTATATATATCATTTACAGCAACTAAATTGGCTTCCACATCAATGTGTAAGATATATTACCATTAAAAGGTAGGTATTATTGAATTGCAACCTCAGCAGTACCTATGCCTATAATTAAAATACTGACGTCCGAGCTGACATCTGACATCTGCCGTCGGTTGTCATATATACCTACTACACTGAACCGAAAGGAGCCTAACCAGTGGCCTCCTTAACAGCCAGTACACCCATAATGTAAGATTTTTAGTTATTGTTAATTTTTGTTACCCACCTCCGTCCCAGATGGCCTTTTTCCGCAAACATTCCCTGGTGTAGCACACGACCAGAATAATGGCCAGATACCACGCCCACCACAATTTCCTCCAGACCCAACCGATGAACGTCTTGACCATTTTCGTACGGATCCGCGGAGATGCGGCTTAGGAAACTTACGACTGCAACGGCGGTTTGACGGACATAACCGGCGCGCTTGAAAAACCGACCACTGTAACGGAAATGTATTGCTTAAGCTTCAACCAACAACATCGACATTGACATGAGTGTACGACGGTGGGGTCGGGTGCCGAAGAAGAAACGATGAGCAAAAAACAGATAGTAAAAACTAAAAAGTATAAACGGCGCACGTATAAAAGACAGCGGAGCAGACGCTGTTTATGCCGCTCGACCGATCGATACAGAGCTTATCAGTGGCCGGTGGGACAGTATTCGACGCGTCGTGATTAGTGAAACGTTTCGCAGCCGACTCGCACCGCACTAAATAATAGTGACAAAAAATTGACCATGAGCGACCGCCATTGACCGACGACCGCAACAGGGCGGCCACAGCCCCACAGGTCAATTTTTACTGCAATAGAAAATTACATTACTTGTTTAAAAAAAAGGTGTGCAAGTGGGTGTCGCTCGGGTGTACAGTAGGTTACAAGCAGGGCGGCTCCAGAGACATGGTTAGGGGGGGGGGGCTCAAGTCATAATTTTCTGGCAATTTCGATGACTTTTTTTTGTAATTTTGTTTTTAACAGTATAAAACTGTTTAGAAATACAGCTTGAGGGGTGGCCCCTAGCCCTCCCTCCCTGGTTACAAGTGGATCACTGTAATGGATGGTGTTAAGAGGACTTAACACTGGTATTGGTTGTCTCCGTCTTACCAGTGAGTAAAATAGCAAATTTACGCTCAGCGGAACACTGTTTTGTTAGCTTAAACATTAGAATGAATTGACCTATAATGAAACTTTATAGTAAAAACATTATCTGTGTTTATACGTTGTTTTTTACGATAATTCAGTTTTTAAGTGAGTTATGAGCATTTTTATTTACGGTATATTAAAAACGCATAACTTGCTGAAAAATTGAATTATCGTAAAAAACCAACATACAAACACCGATAATATTCTTACCCTCAAGATTCATAATAGGTCAATTCACTCTAATCTTTAAACTAACGAAGCTACACGTTTTCTGCTGAGCATACATTTGCTATATTACGCACTTGTAAGACAGAGACAACAAATACCAGTGTAACGTCCTTTTAAATTTGAATTCAATGATATAATATCAATTATCATTGTATACACTATAGTACTATACTGCAGTGTTCAACTTGGAAAAATCGAAGCAGTAGGTACTTACTACTATAGGGTACCTAGTGGTACTCTGTTTAATTTTAAAAATATAGCTTCCCCATCACTTGTTAAACGTTATTGAGCGTTATTAAATATTAACTTTATTGAGGGCTATGTATCCATACCCCCTAAAACAAATTTTAAATCATTTAAAATATTTATAAATAATCAATCAACAAAAATAAAAAATACAAGTTAATATAAGACATAAGACAAGTAATTACTGTAAGTAGGTAGGTACCTAGGTACCTATACCTATTATATTTATTAATTAATTAATTTTATCTGTTATATAATATGCAATATTTTCGTCTTTTGATGGCTGCTTATTTGTCCAGAACGCTTTAACTTAATTTGCTAAATGGTGTAATGTGGTGGGGCTAATTATTAAAACTAATAAATGTAAAGTACCTAATGACTTTTCATCTCACCAGAGAATTTATTAAGAGGACGCCAAACCCGCATGTGTTGTCTCCGTCTTACAAATGTACAACATAGCAAAAACTGTTTTTCGTGGGACAACTGTTCTCGCACCATGCCACCATATTTGTTGTAGAACTACCAAATTTTCCCAACACGTAAAGAAGAACTTTATCTGTGCAACAGTGTGCTCTTTTTTTTAATAGCACCATCCAATCATTTTTATAAGCAAATGAAAAAACAAAATGTTCAGAAGCCAATAACTTGTATTGTACCTATTTACGTTATCTAAAATATGGGCACATTGTTGCACAGATAAAGTTCTGATAAAATTCTTCTTTACGTGTTGTGAAAATTTGGTAGTTCTACAACAAATATGGTGCGAGAACAGTTGTCCCGAGCTAAACAGTCTTTGCTATGTTGTACATTTTTAAGACGGAGACAACACATGCGGGTGTGGCATCCTCTTAAGGACGTTATTATATAAAATGCTATATTATATTATAGAATATAAGGGGCCGTTGTTTGGTCCCTTTTTATCCTTAAAGAGCATCTTGATTAAGTTCAGAACCATTTTCAGAGTTTTGCCAGTTGCCTATACCTACCGCCTTAATTGTCCACACCCACCCCACGACTATAGTCATATCAGCGTCCAGCGATGTTCTTGGTCTTAAATTGTTAACCGAACTTCGTAATATCTCCAGTTATGATTTTATTATTAACCGGCTTATTGAGGGAAATATTCAAAAATAGGTGCACCCCGTTTGTTAGAAAGACTTGATATTCGTTTCTTTGCAGGTAGCACCAGCCACCAGGTTTAAGGGATTATTTTACCTACCAGTTAACTATACTAGTTTTTCAAATAATTCTCCCCTGATCAGAATGATGTCGATAGCCAATAGCAATGTGTAATTTTTTCGTAACCTGACCAGCTTTAATACCTCATGGCTTAAATTATATTTTAGATTCTGAGTGGAACGATGAATGTATTGATTTTACAATGATGTGTGTTCTTTTATTTTTTTTATCACCTTTTAGGACAGTAAAAGCGCTTGGATTTTCTTCAACAGTATCTTTTCTGATAGGAAAGTGAATCAATCTAGTTGGTACTTTGGAGGGTCAAAAGTAAAAACTTCCTAGTAGTTTTCAAAAGCGACGTGAAAAAAATAAGGAAACACGGGAATTTTTACACAAAATAGGTTTTCAAAAAAATCGATTTTGATTTTTGGCGTTACTCTAAAACAAATAACCGTAGATACATGAAATTTTTACTGACTGTTTATATTAGCATTTTCTATACACCATGCCTTTTTAAAAATATTTTGACTTATTTTTATTCCAATTTTTTTTGTATTTTATTCTATAAATATCAATAAAATTTTAATGGTTGGTTAAAAAAGTTTGAAAATTTAATAGAGAGCTTCTAGTATATTGTTTCAAAGGTAGATAAAAAATATTAAAAATCCTTAGTCACAGTTTTTTTTATAAGCATTTAAAGTCCAAAAATTGACAAAATATGGAAAAAATCACGAAAATTAGCAAATTCTTTTGAGTTAAGAATTCGTAAAAATGTTCCTTTTTAAATGTAAGATTTTAAAATGTAATACAAGATTTCTTATAAGATTATCTACCTTTATCAAAAAAAATGTCTGTAAGAAATTCAAATTAGATTTTTATGAGCGTTTGAAATTCATATTTTTACAAAATTTGTTATTTACTCGATTTCTCATGTAACGATTTTCTTATTTTCATATATAATTCAAAAACGAATGACTCTAGATACATGCAAATTTAATTGAATGTTTATTTTATCAATACTTATACTTGATAAAATTTTGAAAATATTTTGACTCTTTTTGAGCTGTTTACAGACATTTTCAATTTTCAATTTTCTTAGTTTTTTTTTCTATAAATATCAATTAAATTTTATCTGTTGGGCCAAAAAGTGTAAAAATTTAATACAAGGCTCCTGATATATTGTTACAATATCATTTGAAAAATATTAAAAGTACATAGATACAATTTTTTTTTATAAGCATTTAAAGATCAAATTTTGACAAAATGTATCAAATTTAAAATTGAATAATTATTTTGTGGTTAAAAATTTATAAAATGTTCAACTTTTATATCTAAGGATTGAAAATGTAAAACAAGATTCCACGTAAGTAGTTAATTCTGTTACCAAAAAATCTAAAAAATACATAAGCACAGTTTATTGTTATAGTCATTTTAAGTTCAAATTTGGATGAAATTACATAAAAAAAACCTAGGATAACTATTCTAGTGATTTTGTTGTGATTGTGTAATATTATTCGTGGGTACTTGAAACCTCTAAAGTACACTATTATATATCTATGTTAGTATCAGGGTTGTTGTTGATGTGTAACGCCCTATAAGTACCTAATCCTAATGGATATTGTGATATGATTAATTTTGAATTTATTATAGGTACCTATTAAAGGTCAATTTTTTTTTTAATATCATAGTTATGTATAATGTATATAAAATGTCTTACACCTAGACTGACATACTGTCTCCGCTCAGAATCGTTTTTCTTATACAATGATTTTATATCATTGAATTCAAATTTAATACCATCCATTATGCAGTGACCCACTTGTAACCTACTGTACAGCAGAGCACCTTTTTTTATTTAAGTACTGATCATTTTAAACAAGGTTTTTAGTTAATATTAAATAATTGAAATAAGTTATGAAATAATTTGTTAATTTATAAAGGTTAGGTTAGGTTACCATCTCACGCATTTTAATAAAATTTCAGAATGATGAAGCGTCCTGTGCCCTTAAAATTTTTGAAAAATTAGTTGGTGTACTCCATTCCACTGCTTACCCCCTTCGCGTTTTTCATATACGAGAAACGATTCCGACTGCTATTGTAACAATATATTGGGAGCCTTGTAATACATTTTCACGCTTTTTGACCCAACAAATAAAATTTTATTGACATTTATAGAAAAAAAATTTAGTTAAGTACGGACCGTGTTTTTTCCTAATTCGTGCATGTGCATCACCTTGTGTTTTTGTGCATACTGCACTGTATAAGAATAAAATTGAATACATAAACTATATATTATTGACCCTTAAAAAATATGCACAGTCTTATCATTGAGCATACTTCTTATTCCTTATACCTACTATGATTATAGTGTGCAAATGTGCAATACATTTACTCGGATTTTTATTTTAAGTTCTGAGTGGAACGATGAATGTTTGATTTTACAATGTGTGTTTTTTTTTAATTTTTAATTTATTTTTTGTGTCTGTGTACACGATAAGTAGTCGAAATAATCCTTCGATTTTCAACTTCAATATCTTGTTCGATTGGAAAGTGAATATCGTTGGTGCATTGAGGTCCAAAATTAAAATTCTCAGTAATTTTCAAAAGCGCCAAGAAAAACAAAAGAAAAATTAAGAAAAAACGGGAATTTTTACGCAAAATTGAATATGGTTATTGGTGTAACTCTTAAACAAATGACCGTAGGTACATGCAATTTTGACTGAATGTTTATATTAGCATTTTCTATACACCATAAAATTTTCAAAATGTTTTGATTTATTTTGAACTGTTTAGGCACATTTTCATTTTCCATTTTTTTTTAGTTTTTTTTCTAAATATATCAATAAAATTTTATTTGTTGGTTAAAAAGCTTGAAAATTTAATACAAGGCTCCTACTATATTGTTACAATGGCATTTGAAAAATTTTAAAAATCCTTATTCACAGATTTTTTATAAGCATTTAAAGTTCAAAAATTGACAAAATATGGAAAAATCACGAATATTAGCAAATTATTTTGAGTTAAGAATTCGTAAAAATTTTTCTTTTTAAATCTAAGGTTTTAAAATGTAATACAAGATTCCCTATAAGATTATCTACCTTTATCAAAAAAAAAAATGTCTATAAGAAAGTCAAATTAAATTTTTATGAGCGTTTGAAATTCAAATGTTTACAACATTGTATATTCACTCGATTTCTCATGTAGCGATTTCCTTATTTTGTTGTAATTCAAAAACGAATAACTGTAGATACATGAAAATTTCACTGAAAATTTAATAGCATTTCCTATTCACCGTACAATTTTGAAAATATTTTGACTCTTTTTGAGGTGTTTACGGACATCTTCAGTTTCCAATTTTTTTTAGTTTTTTATTCTACAAATATCAATAAAGTTTTCTCTGTTGGGCCAAAAAGTGTAAAAATGTAATACAAGGCTCCTGATATATTGTTACAATATCAGTTGAAAAATATTAAAAATACATAGGCACGATTTTTTTTTATAAGCATTTAAAGTTGGAATTTTGACAAAATTTATCAAAATCTCGAAAATTATCAATCGTTGGAATTAAAAAATTATAAAATGTTCAGTTTTTATAACTAAGAGTTGAAAATTTAAAACAAAGATTCTCTTAAATAATTCATACTGTAACCAAAAAATCTAAAAAATATATAAACACACTTATTTTTTACAGACATTTTAATTTCAAATTTAGACAAAATTTCATATTTAAACCATGAATTACGATTTTAGTTATTTTGTTGTGATTGAATAACCATTATTCGTGGGTACTTGAAACTTCTAAAGTGTACTATTATATATCTATGATAGTATCACGGTTTTTGTTGATGTATAACGCGTTATAAGTATCTAATGGATATTGTGATATGATTAGTTTGGAATTTATTATAGGTACCTATTATAGGTCAATTTTTTGTTTAATACCATAGATATGTATATAATATGTCTTATACATAGACTGACATACCGTCACCGCTCAGAATCGTTTTTCTTATACAATGATATTATATCATTGAATTCAAATTTAATATCATCCATTATACAGTGACCCACTGGCCACTTGTAACCTACTGTACAGCAGAGCGACACCCACTTGCCCACCTTTTTATTATCAGTTTGGTACCGAAAATGGTTGAAAAATACCGAGTTAATTTTTTAATTAAAATATTGTGTAGTTTTGTACATTAATATACCAAAAAGGTTGAAAAGTTATCTAAGATGAATGAAGTAATGTATTTTAGGAAATATTTTTATAAAAGTTATAACTTATAACTTATAAGTTATAACATAACTATATATTAGATCCTAAGCGGAGCGATGAAGCTAGTGGTTTTACAATGGTGTTTATTTTTTTTTATAATGTATACAACATTTCTACCAGAAGGAGTGCTTCGATTTCAATATGTAGTATCTTTTAGCAAATTGGATCAAGATGGTAGGTACCTACTTTAGAAAGGTCATTTTTCGATTTTCTCAATAGTTATTTAAAGCCATCAGCCATGGGGAAAAAAACCGACAAAATACAAAGAACCCTCTAAAAATGGATTAAAAAATTCTAAAGCTTTGTATAACACCATAGACACGAATAAAAAAATAAATATATTTCAATATTAATTCAACTTACAGGCCAGGCTATAATAAATAATAACAATATAAAATATCCAGACTGACAAACCGTCTTCGCTCAGAATCGTTTTTCTTATACAATGATATTATATCATTGAATTCAAGTTTAATACAATCCATTATATAATATACATTGACCCACTTGTAACCTACAGTACAGCAAAGCGATATCAACTTACCCCGGTTACCCGCTTTTTTTAAAATTTATTTTGTACATATTATTATTTAATAATTAATAACTCAAAAATTTTAAATCGCCCCCCATGGCTCTGTTAATAACACAGCTAATAACACAAAATTGGTTCCATTGAACGCAGATGCAACACATTTTGCTTTGAACAAATAATTCAACATAATATTTAATTTAAAACTAAATTTGTATTTTTCAGTTCAATTCACTCTAATTTTTAAGCTAACGAAGCTATACGTGTTCTACTGAGCGTAAATTTGCTATGTTATGCACTTGTAAGACAGAGACAACAAATACCATTGTTACGTCCTCTTAACGGCTTATCGGGGTCTGCATGGTACCACCAGAGTACCACACTTAGTTATTCATATGCTTCTACTACCTATTTTAATTATTATAAAATAAGCTAGTTATTAGGACCATACCTAGTACTGTAGAACCTCAATAATCCAGACTGTTTGGGGCTCTAGGTTGTCCGAATTAAACAAAATAACCAAAATATGTGTATGTATCAATGAATGATAGAATTAAGAACATGTATTATGTAATTAACAATTGGATGACGTGATTGACAATTTGTTTTTGGTATTTTGTAGAAATAATCACTATTACATGCATATATATGGGAAATTTGTTGAATTCCTTTTCATGTATTTATATTGTATTATAATAGTATGGCAAGGTCCATAGGCATAGCGTATTGAATTTATACAGGGGGGCTATAGCCTATTATGTTTCTGGTATATAATATAAATCCTAAAACGATTTATTCTTTAGAAACTCAGAAGTATAATATGGACAGCGGTAGCAATTCAAATGTGTTCATTAGTTAGACAATAAGTAATAACACACTATTCACCAAGGTATATCTAAAGTTCACAAATCATTTTTATTTCTTATAATAAGTATTAAGAAGGTATATGTTAAAGACACACCACAGACCACAGTGTACGTATGTAGATTGTATTTTATACACTTGTTAATAGTTACTGCACACTGGGAAAATTCTTTAAATTACTAAAAATCTAAAAATTACTACATGGTGTAATAACATCATAATTATTTTCGAAATCAAAAATCTAAACATAAGATTTACAATTTTTGGAAATTTGTTAATAAAATTATAGTACATATCAACTTATCTATTTGATTCTGAAGATATTAAATGTTTATTCATCAATATATTCTAATAATAAAGAACTATGTGAGTACCTCTTTCTAGATTTGGAATCACGATAATCCAAAAAGGTCTTTTTCATGAATGTTGTACTCACATATTAATATATTATGACTTTGATGATTCAAAAATTCAACAATTTCTTAAGATCATAATATGAATCCAGTAATTTTATTGCTCCAAATGACTAAACATAAATAAATAAATATACAATATAACTAGTTGTTTCACCATAACAAGCATCACATCATTAGATTCAATATACTATTTGGTACCTATGTTATTTTATTAGTGTTATTATTGTTCCAAAAATAACCACAGACCACAATATCCAATAGTTTTTAACAAATATGTACAGGTATTTAAATTATTTCAAAATAAAAATAAGCATATAAATAGCAAAAAAACGTGATAAAAAGCATGGAAATGTTAGCGTGTTTGAACGCTCTACTAAAATCTGTGTAATAGAAAAATTACAAAAAAAAATAGGACGTGGAGGACGCCACTGCTGAGTCATACTCTATAATTTAAAACAAAATTCATAAAATATGTGCTTTAATTTCGTAACAAAAATTACAATAATTATTCAAATAATACATCAGCGTTTCAATAACGTAATACAATAAATGGTCATACAATTTCGATATTTTATTTTCAAACATATTAGAACTCTCATTTGTAACAATACCTGCATTAATAATTTAGAAAACATTGGTAGATTTTATATTTTATTTATGACATATGAAAATAGTAATCGATAAAAGGCACAGTAGATACATTATTATAAAAATGGCTCATTTGTAAACATCTTAAAAATCTTTGAAAAATGAATATTAGTCATCTTAAACTTATTTATTTTTTTAAATTAAGTTTATTATTAATACATTTAATTTATTTGCTGGTCATTGTTATTATGCACTGTATAAAGTAGATAACCAGTTTCTTTTTGATAGATGTGATATTATTTAATACTGTAAGAAATAGGTAAAAGGGACTTTTAAAAATAACTATCTAGATAAATAATCCGTAACTGATTTTAAGCCCAATAAAATTTTTTTTTATTGTTAAATTAAATTAAATTCATCATTATTTTTAAATCACAATAAAATGATGGAATATAAATATAAAACATTATCACATATCAGTTCATGAATATTACACAATCTAAAAAGAAATCATCTGAAGAAACCAATATACATTATAACATTTTATAGGTATTGATTTCTTTTATTAAATGTAGTTTTAAACAAATTGCAAAAATTAAATTTAAAACAATAAGAATAAAATTGTATTCTTGTTAAATTAAATAAATATGTTCCAACATGACATATGGATGTGACTTCAGTCAAATAAACTTTATAAAACTGTTATATTTATTCATATTTAGCAACAAGAACCATTAAGTAAACTCCCACTAATAAAGCTAAAATTTCTTTAATAGACTGTATGAAACTCGAGTCTTCCAAAAGACTTGGTATTACGTTCACAGTTGCAATATAAATGAAACCACCAGCTGTAAATGGTAGTACCCACGAATTTGCAACTTCACCTGAAAAAAAATTAATATCATTATAGTATGGTTTAGTAAAATTGTATTCCAATTGTTTTTTTTTTTAATGTTCAAGCAAGTATAAGTTAATCAAATATGTATAAACGTAAAGTAAATTAAAAATTCTACCTAATCCAAAAGTTACATAATATGCCATAACATAATATGGCAGAGGCGTATTTACGGGGGGGGGGGGATTTGGGGGATCAACCCCCCTTGGTATTTTTTTTTTGCTATTATTAAAGGATTCAAGTATACATATATAGACACTGAATCGTCAATTGTTTTAGTATTTACTATGTATTTTTTGAGTATCGGAAATCAGCATTCTTATCTTATTTGTGTGGAAAAACTACATTGGTATTTTTAGACGAAAAATGATTTGAATGAGCTGATAGTAATTTTATTTGTATAACATAATGTAACATATTATTTACATTTAAACGTAGAACATTAAAATCTACCTACAATCTTAACCATAATCATTTTGTCAAATTTTGTGTTTATTTTATAATTATTTACACTTAATTTCGTTGTGTGTAAAATTGTGTTGAAATTTCACCATTTTGGTCTTCGATCTTTGGTGTTAAAATTTAAAATGAAGAGAACTACACTGGACTACTTTTTAAGCCACAAGAAAAGAAATCGAATATTTATGTGGAAATCGAAGATGTAATTAAAAGAAATTCAATAATAATAAATTAATTATAATTATAAATTATCTCGTTATTAAAACGCATCTATTATTATATTATATATTTTTGAAATTTGAACAATCAATTAGGTACCAGTGGAAAAAACACTTGAAAACAAATCAGTGACAACCCCACAACCGCAGATAGTAAGAATTAAGAACTAATATAAATTAATGCATTATAGAATATAATATAATACCAGAACGGAGCTAATGCGCTAGCACTATTATCTGTTCATCATACAGTAGATATAAGTACCGATGAAGTAATTAATGAACTAGCAACAAAACAAAGAAAACTTGATTTTTTATTATAAGTATATTAGTATAAAGTAAGTAAAAGTACGAGTATGTAATTATTATTATTTATTATAGTAAAAATAAATATTTATGATACTATTATATTTGTACTAAATTTATTATTGTGTTATTGGACATAGGTGGTGATAGTAGGATGGTAATTGTTAAAGAGTTAATTCTCTAAGAATATTTTTTGAGTGTAAATTAAAAATTGAAATTTATTTCAAATCTAATGAAAAATAATCAATAATTTATGTTATTGTTATTCACTAAAATTAATGATTAATAATTGGTATTAAATGTTGTGTAAACTGTACAGTATGTAGTAAGTATAGGAAACCTCAAAGGGGGGTGTGGGGGGATTTGCCCCCCACTATTCCATATGTCATTCAGTGCCTCATCCCCTCCCTTGAGCAATTTCTAAATTGCCGCTGTAATATGGTGTTTGCTAAACAAATTTTAGATTCTGTACGCAGCAATGAATGTATTGTATTTACAATGTGTTTATATTTTTTTGGCTAAGATTTTTGATATCAGCAACTTTTCTGATAGAAGAGTGAATCTTGTTAGTACTTTTCAGAGGTTAAGATTGAAGATTATAAAAAAGCGTCAGAAAAAAAAATCTTTATTTTAAGCAAAACCTATTTTGATTTTAATTTTGGGTGTACTTCAAAAACTAATAATCGAAGACAATTGATATTTTCAAAGAATATACATATTGGAATTTTCCATATATGGTAATATTTTCACAACATTTTGAGGTATTTATAGCCTTGAGAAATTTTTCGAATTTTATAATTTTTTTAAAAATTATTCTTGATAAAAACTTTTTAACTTGGTAAAAAAGCTTGAAAAATTAATGTAAGGTTTTTCACAAGTATTTTTTAATCAAAGTCCAAAAATATTAATAATGCATAGACACGATTCTATTTATATGCATTTTAAGATCAATTTTTAATAAATGTATCAATACCTTGAACATTTTCAAATTATTTTTCAGTTAGAAATTCATAGAAGTTTTTCTTCTTGTAGCTAACATTAGAAATTTTAATAGAAGATTCCCCACAAATTTTCTACCAGGAACAAAAAAAAGTTTACCGAAAAGTAAGATTAATTTTTTATGAGTGTTTGAATTTAAAAATTGTACGATATTGGATTTTAACTGTTAAATTAACGAATCATTCGTTAATTTTTCAAAACCAAATAACCATACACTCGAAAATTTTCACTAAAAGTTAAAATGATCATTTTCCATACATAGTACAATTTTCGAATTATTTTGACTCTTTTTGGGCTATTTATAGTCATGGATTTTTTACAATTCTGTAAATTATTTTCAGTTAGAAATTCATAAAAGTTTTTCTTTTCATAGCCAACATTAGAAATTTTAATAGACGATTCCACCCAAATTATTCTACCTTAAAAAGAACAAGAAAGTTTAACGGAAAGATACACATATAAGATATTTTTGATTTTTATTAATTTTTTTTTTTAGTTATTACATTTTATTATTTACAAAAAGATTATTTATAGGAAAATACAACGTCTCAGCTCAGAATTGTTTTTTTGTATGAAATGATTTATCATTAAATTCAAATATAACACATCCCTGACAATGAGCGGTACAAACTTGTCTATATTTTTAATTATTATTTATTACCGATGGTTTCCATAAAATCTATACAACCGTAATATTTTAGTTGTATTTATAATGGAAAAATATTAATTAAAAATAGTTTATAAAATATAATAATTGTTTTTAAATATAATAAAAACAAATTATTATAAAGTGGTCCACATGAGCATTATCAATAATGAATTAAAAAAAAATTCAAGTAATAAGAAGTCGCACAAACTTACTATCTTTTCCAAACGTCAATGACACTAATGTTCCGCAAATAGCACCTACTGCAGTTAATAACTGACATTTCATAGCCTGTAAGAGAGAATAAATTTGTTTGGTTAGTTTATACATTTTATAATAAAATACAAGTAAATAAACCATTCAAATAATCAGATAAAAATTAATAATAGTAGCTAGTAATCAGTGTTGGGTAAATTACTAATTAAATTATGTATTGTCTATTACTCAGCTATTATAGCTACACAGGAATTTTTTTTTAGGAAACCACCAACAAATGAGCCCAAAAGACAATCCCTTAAAGTCTATTCACCTAGCTGATGGAATTTGGATGTATTATCATATTAGAATACATTTTAATTTTCTGTTGGATTATGTTTTATTTATGAATTAAAGTGCAATTTAGCAGTGTGAAGGTTAAAAAATAGTAGCCGCATTTGATATTTAAGTTTAAGTGAATTGATCTATTGTCAAACTTATAGGTAAGAATATTTAGGTACCTTATAGGCATTTATTGATATTTACATTTTGATGTGCGGTGTAAGCATTTTAAAATTGTAATATTTTACAAAGTTTTAACACGCTTTAAAATTAAAATATCAATAAAAGCTTGGTAGGGTAATTCATGAAGAACAATCATAATATTTTATGCACATATTATAATTTACAAAACAAATTAATATCTAATACACTTTAGGCTTGCAAGTAAGCATACAAGTAAAATTTATTTTTGCTCACAAACTGTTAAACTATATAGAATAAATGTACTCACATTTGCCTTAGAACTACCTTCTTGAATTAAAATTGCATAATCTCCAATTTCATGTGGGATTTCATGAAATAATACTGTTATTGTTGTGACTATACCAATATTTTGACCGGCTAAATATGCAGCACCAATGGCAAGTCCGTCGGTAAAGTTGTGTGTAAAATCAGCAACAACATTTAACCATCCAGCTACTGATAAACTTTGTTCTGGCACTATAAAAAATATAATAATTTAATTTAAATTAAACACATGTATACCTATACAATCTTTAATATAATTTAACTAGGTATATTAGTTGAATATTTTTATTTTTTAAACCTAAGTATCATAACAAATTAACTAACCCAAATGCCTAACAAAATAAGTAGTAGGTATATTATTAAGATATAATGTTTGAATTATGTTGGTTGTTGGTAGATATTCTATGTACAATTTAAAAGAAATGTAATATTTTTTTTATACATAGGTACAAAAACCTAAACAACTAAAGTTGCTTTTAAATACCTATCTGTATAAACTCATATTAAATTAATTAATTTATTAAAATTATTATCATTGTATACGATTGAAAGAGCAATGCCTCTAGTAAATTTAGACACCAGATCTAGTCTTAGAAATCGATATAAAGGGGAAATCTTAGTAGAACCACACAACAGTTTCTGTTTATTTCGGGGTTTATTTTGTGTAAAATTATTTTTTCTTTTAACATAATATAATGCTTTATATTACTACATAACTTAAGTATTGTCATTGTACCAAAATGTTTTTAGGTATACATTATCTGTTTACTGTTTACTAGTATCTTTGTAAAATTGCCGTCAGGTGTTAAAATCATAAAAAAAAATATGTAAATATGTACAACCTAGTTTTCAAGTTTATTTAAACTTAAATTAGATTAGATAACATATATAATAATATGTGTGTTTAATAGCATAATAAATCAATGAATAGGAACCACATGATAACGTTTACATACTTCTTAGTTCTTAGGAGTACTTACTACTTAGTACTTCTTACCTTACTAGATAGTTACTTTAAAATATATAGAATAATTAATTAGGTACCTATCAATATTATAAAGAGTTAAAATAAAAATCATTATTTAATAACAAGTGTAATTATTATTATATTTGAATGGAATATTTTTGTAATACCTATTGCTTTGAGAATTTTTTAATTAGTTTATTTTAGTTTGAAATGTTTTATGTGTAATTTTAGGTATAAACGTTGAAATGTTAATTTGTTTCTTAAATATTTAGTTAAGTAGATAAATCAGTGCATTTTGAACTAAAATGAATGGTAGTAGCAAGGTCCCTTATAAAAGTTAAATAAAGAAACGAATAATTAAGCTTTATCATAAATCATATTTTTATTAAAGTATAATATTACGTAGGTAGATATATTGTAATCATATTACATACACTAACTGTTGACTTGATGGTAAAGGTATTATTTAAACAATTTAACAGTTAAGTTTACCTAATTTTTGTTTTGAATTAATATTATATAAATAGTTATATAACTAGGTATATTAAGAGGACGTTTCACCCGCATTTGTTGTATCCGTCTTACACACGTACGGCATAGCAAAAACTATTTTGAGCCGGAAAGAACCAAGAAGGCTACAGTTATAACTAAGAAACAAAATTTTCACCACATATAAAGAAGAACTCTGGCTGTGCAATATCGTTTTTATTTTTTTGATATCACTTATACGAAAAAAGTTTTTAGTGTTTCAAAATCCATTATTATTTGCGGTTTTAAAACTTAAATAACTTTTTTTGAAGTTTCGATAACAAAAAAAATAAAACAATATTGCACAGCCAAAGTTCTTCTTTTCATGTAGAGAAAATTTTGGTTCTTAGTTATGATTGTAGCCTTCTCGGTTCTTTCCTGCACAAAACAGTTTTTGCTAAGCCGTACGTGTGTAAGACGGAGACAACAAATGCGGGTGGAACATCCTCTTAATATACCTAATAATTCATTCATATTTTGTACCTGCTTTAAAATTAAAGATATCTATGTACAAGGCAACAACAGAATTATTTCGTCTATACATATTGTGCGAGTGCTTAATGCTTTTTATCCAAAATATTATTTGCATTTTACTATTTTTCAAATTGTTATAATATTGGAAAAGTACCTATATTAAAAAAAGGTTGTTCAAGTAAAACTACAGAAGGTCTGTAAATGTACAAAAAAAGTTGTGTCCATACTTCCTTACCATAGTTTTGTATCACATTTCACGCTTTATAGCAATGTGAAAAAATATTACAATTAAGTCTATAAAAAAATGTAAAACAGTTAAAACTTAAAGCTACTTAAAAAGAAAGATCTGCTCGAGGATCTGCTAGACTACCTTCCATAGTATCTAGCTATTCCAGCTATCATATCTTATTTAGGGTAGGTACCTACCTAATTACTTTTTTGAAAAAAATATTTAGGCACCAAATTAAGATTTGCACACCAGCCCTGTAATGTGTAGTTGCGATACTGGATTTGTCATAATAATAACTTATTGCCCCTTAAAAAATGTAATTGGCCTATAGAAAAAATAATTCGTAATACACTATTGAGTTTGATGTACTACTTATACAACTAAAACTATTAAAATAATGCTCTACTAAGTCTAGTTATACTATATTACATTCAAAACATAGTGTCTGATTTTTTGGCAGTAAAACAACATTTTTATAGTTAACATACCTAGCCTATTAACTGGTATTAATGATTTATAACTTTAATAGATTAATTAACTATAGTGAATAAACTGTACTTTCTTACATATTAGGCAAATAAAGAAATGTTAAACTTACTTGGAAGTAGCACATTTTTATCATTATCTTCATCTTCATCATCACTCAGCTTTTCCTTGGGGCGTACAGACGAATGTGAATGGCTATGCCCACCTTTTATCACTCTAACCATTTTCTCGACAAACAAGAACACCAATATGCCGGCTAGGATCCACAATCCCACTCCAATCTCGTTGCCGTGGTCATGGCCACCTTCCGAACTATGTGAATCAGCACTGCAGTGTTGATCATGATCATGGTGATGGTCATCATTACTGTGTTGATGATCACCATGATCGTGATGATGTGTGGACAATGAATGTGGGATTAAATGTAGGAATGCATCGCCTAATAATCCACCAGAAGCAAAACTCAAGAGCACCTTCAGAACCGACTTGTGTTCGTCCTTGTTATTTATAGGTATGAAGAACAACACAATAAACGGCAGCACACTAATAGCCACGGTAGATGACAATGCTTTGATCCACAGCATTGAGTCGACGGTTGGTGCAGACACGGGCTTGGATGTATGGTGGTCATGGTCGTGATCATGGTGGTGGTGGTGTCCGTGGCTCGAACAGAATTTTGGCAGTCCAAGGAACACAAACGCGAACAGAAGTGTCCAGCAAACGTACTTGATGCATTTCTTTGACAGCATGGCTACTTGTGAAACGACTCGCCGAGCGATTTTGATTCGTTGGACACAGACCGGCGACAAACAGGAACCCTATTATAAGTAATAAAGACAATGAGAAGAAGAACAACGACAACAGTAACGTCGAGTTGTCATTTCATGCGTGTAAGCGGCCGACCGATGAGATGGTACGTCGTTAGTTTCGAGGGGAAGATAACGACGTTCGTAGACAATATTAAAAACGAGTGCGAGACACGGACGGACGACGAACGAAGCGGGCGATAGAAAGAGACCAATGAGTGAGATAGCCGATTGAGAAAGTAGAAGGGAGAAAAATGATAGTTGATAACGGAACCGGAACGCGGCGTTGACTGTTTTTTAAGTGATAATTGATAAGCGAAACAAGGAAAAAAAATAAAAAACGATTTCGACTATAACTTATTGTCTATTGAAAATCGTAACAGGTAATTTTACAGTATGTTAGTATGTACCTACTACCTACTGGCTACTAGCATTGATTATAAAATACTAGTGTTCATAAATAATGCTACTATTATAGTTTCTAGGTACCTATAATAGGTACCTACTATTCTTTGATCTATGCTACCTACCTATTTGGGCTATTTCCAAATTTCCTATTTTGTATGATGGAAATAACTTTTTTAAATTATAGCCGAGGGTTAATAGGTAATTTATAATGCCTATTATAAATAATAACTACCTATTAGTTATTACCCGTTGCCATAACATTTAATCATTTTAAACCATTCCTTGCCGTTTAGGTGAACAAAATTAATTAAAATTAATATGAACATAGAGCACTGAGCAGGTTTAGATTATAATTAATAATTAGAGGTACTATAATTGTCAGCTGTCAATCGCGTATGATTGAATCAAAATATTTAGGAACCAGCTATATATTATGATAAATTAAAAATTAATTTTAGATCTTGCACATCTGCTTATTAATAGTTAATACATTAAGAATAAAAAACGTATAAAAAACGTAGTCTTATTATTATTATATATTATGCACTATTTAATAATATTAATACTATATAAATGGCTCTAATATAGGTACCTACTAAGATATATAATCGGTAGGTAATAATATAAATTATAGCCTTAGCCTATAGGTTTAGCCGTTTAGGTAGGTACATACCTATCTAAATAAACATAATAGGTATGGTAAAAAAAACCAAATTAAATCAAGGGAAAATTAAATTGAGTTAAAAATAAAAAAAATTAAAACAACTAAAAGATTTTTATCAAAAACTGGGTTTTTTCTTAATTTTTTTCTACGTTTTTAAAACTACTGGTAATATTTTACTTTTTACCCTCCAAAGTGGGCAGTAGGTATAGTCTACCTAAAGAGAAAATGGTTCCATGAGAAATAATTAATTTAAGGTTGATTATCCAATGTCGTAAAATATTGAGTTTAAAACGCTCATAGAAAAATCAATGTGAATTTACGGTCAATACTTTTTTATTTAATTACAATTATGACAACTTATGAGGAACCTTGTATAACATTTTCAAATATTTTGACCAAGTGAAATATAATATATCGATAATAATTGAAAAAAACTAAAAATAATTAAATGTTTCATACCTATAAATAGCTCGAGAATCAAAATATTTTTAAAATTTTTCTATGTATGGAAAATTGCCATACACACATTTATTGAAAATTTAAAGTACCTATCTACGGAATTGTTTTTGAGTTACCGAACAAAAAAACAAAATTAATTTTTTTAAAACCTTGTTTTGAGTAAAATGTATTTTTTCTTAATTGTTTTTTGTTTTTCCTTACGCTTTTAACAACGTAGGGAAAACATCGTCATATTCAAACTTCTTGTTCTAAGGTGAGGAAGTGAATGTACAGTGTTAAAAATAAAACTTATACCTAGTTGTATTTTAAATAAAGGAACAAATAATCTTAAGTTACCAGCTATCACACGTTTTTTTGATTTTTTTTCTGAAACATGTATTTCAATGAGTTATAACGATGGTGCAAAAAAAATTAATTGTAAAAATCATTATTCTGGAAGTTATAGCGGTATCCTCCCGGACTATTTTCAGTTTTTACGTTTGCGTACAAGATTCTACACTCCTACGTATCTAATATTTTAACGAGTTAAGAACATCATATAATATAGTATAATAATATATCATAATATAATATACTATATAGTACCTACCTATAAAATAATGAAGTATGATAAGTAGACAGTGGTCGCTCGATACGCCTACCAGCTCCGATCGAAAAATTCGAGGTCCTACAGATAAAGTTAGTAATTATTATGAACATCGAACGAAAATATTATATTTTAAGTTTTAACCTTATTGTATACCTAATTGGTATAATATAATATTCCAATCTCCTAGCGGTAGCATTGATTTTATAATATTTTATAATCTAGTAGGAATCTTATAATTTTTTAACTTTTAATTAGATGCTCCACAAAATTGTTTAAAATGCAAAATTCTTGGGTAGGTAGGTATTTTAATTACATAACAATATAATTAGGTACCGAAAAGGGTACAAACATTATAAATTAAAAAAATCATGAACACATTATCATAAGCAAAGCATATAATTTTTTTCTGCCATTAAAAACTTGTTACTTGGGGCACCCCTCCCCCTAAATGCGCCACTATAGGTACTTGGTAACCCCCTCTCATATAGGTATATGTGTATAGTGTATAATATAAATGACAGTAATAATCAAAGCTGGGCAACCTAACGACTTTTTTTAATTAGGTAAGTTAAGTTATTTTAAAATAATAAAGTTAAGTTAAGTTAAAAGTTACTAGGATTTTTTTTACAAAAATGTACTTAATTTAGATACTTTATAAATAAAATTAACTTGAAATTAACACGTTAATCTTAAAAAAAAGTAACTTAGAATTAAGTTAAAAGTTAATTTGAAAAAAAAGTAAAGAATTAAATAACTTAATTAAAATTAATTTAACGTTTTAACTTAATGTCCAGCCTTGGTAATAATAATAATAATAATAATAGTGAAACGTACCTTAATGTACCAATACGTAAAATTCTCCTCCAGACAGATATATAATAATTAATTAAGTATTATAATTATTATTTATTATTATAAATTATTAGAGGTACGGTTACCTATTACTTTTGCGTTTGTCGTAAACTATACCCAATACTAAATAGGTACAAATGTACCAATGTACAATAAGTCATGAGGTATTTCTACGTCATTGGTTGTTAACTATTAATTTAATGACCTAAACACGAATAATAGGTAATAATATCAGCACCGCATGCATGTGTTGTGTAGGTACCTAATTAATACATACTATCATTGATTAAATATGGTAGGTACTGCAGTAGCCAGTAGGTATATTTAATCAATGCTACATCCTACTTATGTATAAATACAGCGAATGTACACGTATTAATATTCGATATTTAGTTACAGCCTAACAAGCATATTATGTACGTGTTTCGATTTGAATGGGATAATATTATAGGTAAACCATTATTATGTTGGAAGTAAGTACCTGTCCCCTCTCATTATTGTAGGTACCTATAGATTTCAGATTATTTGCAATACCTATGTGTTTGGTACCTAAGCATATATTTTTGTGACACGTTTACATGAATAATAACGGCTATAGCCCATTCGTCTAGGTAAATTCCCAAACGGTTCCCGTTTTCGACAACACAAATTATTCCATACAGACTTAGAACTATCTCAAAAAATTAAAAATGGGTTTGTGTTTTTTTTAAATTGTATTAACATTATAGGTATTTATAGGTACTTATTATAAATCATAAATTAAAAATTAAATGCGATGGTGTTTTCGAATGTGTGCCCACCATTCCTGCATACATATGGGTATTGGCCAGTAGCCTGTAGGTGGTATTATCCAACTATGTATTGGGTATTGGGTATACTATCCATAGACGTGCATTTCGGAGTTCGGGGGAAGGACCTAATGAATAAATATGTAATTAATTAGGTATTTTTAAATTACCTACCTACCTACAATTTTTTTTAAACACTACTCGTATAGGTAGTAGGTATATACTATTATAATTTTAGCTAGGCACTTCTGTAGTAGGAGATCAGGTAAAACTAAAATTGTGGGAGGGAAGCAAGGGGCTAACACTTGAAATATAAAATAATATAAAATAAAAACTGTTCTTGGTTTCTATCGAAGAAATACTAAGTTTACATAAGAAATAATAATTATTATAAAATTCATTTAAATAAGATTCTGTGAATAAGTTTTTTTTTTTTTTTGGTGAGTATATTTCATAATTACGAAAATATGTAAATTAATTTAAAATTACTAAAAATGAACAAAATATTAAATTTAAACACCTTTAAGACATTTATGTTTTAATAATACATGTAACCAATTTCTACTTTGGATATAAAAAGTAGTTCAAACACTCCAATAGCCAATAGGTATTGTTGAGTTACAGCTGCAACTCCCATGGTAATTATTGGTGAGACTTCCTACGTATATTAATTTATGTTTAGAGTATGCTGTAGCAAGTGAACCTGAATCATGATTTGAGTTCACACAAACTGTTCATAGAAAATAAAGATTATTTTTTTGTCAACATTTTTATTTAAATATTTAAACATTCAGTCATAATATACTCATATTGTATGTATATTGTATAATAAATACCCCCCTCCATGGACACTTGACAAATATATATGTACTGACCACGGTTTATATAGGTAAACTATACAGGTTACTTAACGAGGCATTGCTGCCTAGTGATATCCTTGATTGAAGATTATGGCCTACGAGTAGCGCAACTAGCTTCGAAGCGAAAATTAATGTAGTTAAACAATGTATATTTTCGTAAGAGGTAGATATATTATTTTTTTTTCTATATGTATAATTTTGTACACTGAGAGCTCTAGCTGTACTTCTTTCTATGGTGAAAATCTGATTTTTGGGGAAACACTGTGAGCATCACTCTGGAGACCAGTTTCTAATTTCTTTACGGTGTTGATAGTAACCTGTATATTTTAAATGGTAGTATTTACATATAATTATTATTATTGTATTTCTCAATTTAAGATCAGGCATTATCAATGTTAAAAATTTGACCTCTTTCCTCATTGTTATTAATTATTACTAGGGCAGAGAACTTATTCTCTAAAAAAGTACTAGATATGCAATCATTTATGAACTTAAAAATTCTAAAAAATGCTTATGTCTTTTTTATGACACAAATTTCCAATAATTAAAATATTATAGTTAATTTAATGTATAAAATTTTAAATTAGTTTATTAGAAAAAGTTTTTCATTGTCATAGTTATTTATTAACAAAACTTATTACCCAGAATTTGTACCAAATTAAAAAAATATAAAATAAAGTATACAGGGTGTAACAGGAAGACCTGGCAGATGAAATAACTTTTGTTGTAAGCAATATTTTTAAGTTTTTTATTTAACACATATTTTAAAGACCCTTGCGCAACACGAATAATATACAAATTTATTTTTTATAACTGAAAAAAAAAAATTGATTCAAATTTTTTGGTAAAATTCAAAATAGTCAATTTGTAAATATGATTATAAAAACAATTTTTATATTTAAAATATTTATCTAAGTCAAGTAGTTTATTTTTAAATTATCAATATTTCTTTGAGTAAATTAATTTAGAACGTAATACCTAACTTTTTAAATATTATTTTTGGGAATTTACTGACATGAGTATATTTCTTAAATTACTTCAATTCAGAATGAATAATTCCTTTAGTTAAAATTATGTTTTATTAGACTTTATTTATTGATCATTTCTAATAAAGAAAATAATCAAATTATAAGTTATGGCACGCTACTTGATATTTGAAAACTAAGATTAAACCCATTAACAAATTGATGATTTATAAGTAAATTTAATTATATATTCTTTATAGGTAAGTATGCTATCCCATACATTTTATTGAGAGTAACTGACTTGGCAATTTGGGGCATTAGTTACAAGAGTTAATTTTTTTTTTAAGATATGTATTCTTTTAAAAATATTTTCATGAACAAAAAAACATTATAGTGCTTAGTATAGGCAGTTACTTCAGTTTTACTGTTTATTTGTTTAATCTTGTTAATACATTTAGTGCTTCATACAAATAATCAGGACTTAGGTAATAAAGAATAATGTCATTTCTTGGATTAAACAAAAAAAAAAAGTTTTATAATAACATAATTGAAATAGGCTAAAATAATGATCATCTGCAATAAACACAATAAAGAACTGTTTCTAAAAATGTTTTTTCAAAAGTTTTAATTACATGTACTTATTGTAAGATATTGCTAAAAATTGGATGACTCACAATTTTTTTTTATGATAATATGTCTATTGCTATTTTCTTTATAATATGATGAATAGAAAATATTACAATATTATCACTGTAGTTGTTTCATTGTCATTTACAAGACCAACAATTTTAGGAATTAAAAGATTTTACAATATTTTGAACTGTTTATTTTATTGATGTATAAAAGACTTTATAATCTAAGTATTATAATTTCCACTAAACTGACTATTGCAATACAAAAATACCACATAATTATTATTACCAAAAATATTTTGAAAAACCTTTATGCTTTCATGATACATTTGTAGCAATATTAATTAATAAACCAACAATATTATAAAGACAAATAATCTTAGAATTTGTTGTATAAAATTCCTGAATAGATTTTAGTTTAAAAAATAAAATTTAATAGTGAACCTCGTTTTATGTACTTTTGTTTGAATGCATAGGTAACAAACATTAATTTTTCTAAAAAGTCTTTTCATACAGTATATAAATATAATTAGTTAAATATTTAATTATAAACAGATTGTTTATAATTAAAATATAAGGATTTTCTTTTCTAACGAATACAATGTAGAAACCATTTTGAAATGTTTAATACAACAGTACTCTAATATAAAAACTTATTTTTCTTCTTAATGATTACATTGATTATCCATATAAACACTTGACAAAATTATACTCATACACACATATATGAATATTTTACATAGTATGTATGTGTGTTTACTAATAGAAATTACAAGACATAACAAATGAATACAATAAGATTGCACCTACATTCCACTTTCAGATGTTATAATTCCTATTATGCAAACAAGTATAATTAAATTTCTTTAACATTGAGGCATTTTTAAAAAAATAAATAAATAAATAAAGTATATTTGTTACGCGTAAAAATTTGAAATGCCCCTTCGAAAACCAAATTATATAAATGTGTTATTACCCCTAAATATAATCTAACTTAAAATAAAATGATGACAAGTAAAATAATTATCAACAACCCGAATAGTCATAGTTTCGAGTTGCATACACCCTAAATCATTGATCACTAGTAGTGGGTTTGAGCTCTTTAATTTGTTTGATCAGATACGCCTTTTCATCATTGAACTGTTCATCTTCAGATCGTTCAGTATGAAATCTTGTCAAGAATTCAACCAGCTTGTCTTGGTTACGAAGCAAAATGTCAAGAATAGGCTTAGGTTTATTAGGATTAGCAACAAATACCTAAAGAATAATAAGTATTATAACATTATATTGTAAATATTTACAAATTAAAAATTATACCTTAAAAACATGAAAAGCTTCAAATTGGATATTTCTAGATTTTTCTTTTAACATATTCATCATCAATTTCAAATTGTCAGGATTTGATATGTAGCGAGTCATAACCTAAAACAAATGATAAAAAAGAACTATGTACAATTATTGTCCATAATTTGGAAAGCGTTCATAAGAGTAATAAATAATGTCACCACAGCAGTAACAAATTATGTCACTATAACAAGAAGTCTAACAAAAAAACACTTTACAAATTTAAGTAGACATATTTATATCAAAAAATAAAATAGTTTATATCAGGGTCGGAAACCTTTGTGATGTCAAGGGGCAAAAATAAATATAAATTATTATACAAAAATGTAGTTATAATAAAAAAGAACTGGAATATGCGATATAATATGATCTAAAAATCTTAAAATAAGTTCTATATTATACTATAAAAACATGAAAAATAGCAAAGAAGAAAGGTTTTTTTTAAAAAATGTTTTTCTGTTAACAATTTAAAACAATTTATATTTATTAAATAATTACTGGACAAAAATATATAAATACAACTAATAAGGTGTGATATTAGCGAATAATATAAAATTAACGTCGGAAATTTTCTTAGCTAAAAATAGCATCAAAACTTGCAAAATACCACTAAAAATATAAAACACATCAAATATGAGAAAAATAGCAATACAAAATTTCATATTTGGAATCTCTCGTATTTGAAACTCCTCTGCTACTTTGTAATCTATGTCTTATAATAGTGAGAAAATGCTATGGAAACCGAGTCCAGGTTATATTAAATGTATATTGATTTAACAAGGTATCTACAAGCAAACAACATTTTAACCCACTGTTCATGCTATCTTAGTTTTTAATTTTTATACAAATTATATATTTTACTCATGACATACTATACTCCTACTTAATATTATTAAATAAGTACCGTAAAATTATGACGGTCTAACAATAGTTCACCAAGTAATTTGAGACTTTGGCGACGAGTTACATAATTTTCAGAGTTCAGTAGTTGTTGATAATGTGTAAACACTTTATCATAGTTGATTTCAAGGAATTCAGCACAGAGTGGTTTGTGTCTAGTCAGCAATTCCTGTTACAAAAATAACAACAACAACAGTAAATAAAGTTTAAAAAAAGTGTGGTGTATGCTATTTATAAATTAGTATACAACCTTAAATGTGGAAAATGCATCTGAAGCAATATCAAAAGTTGAAACTTCTACATAACGAAAAAAATTGAAAAATTCTTTTGAGTACAGCATTATTTTTGCTAATGCTTCATATCTAGCACATTCACGTAACATTGTTCCACAGTTAAGAGCTATTTCTTGATGTTCATACCTTTAAGTAATATTTCTATTATTCATACAATTATTGTTAGTAGGATCTAATGTCTTGAAATATAAATCATAATTATTTACTCCTAATAAATATAAATATATTTAAATTCTTAAATCCATGCAAAACATTTATTTTCAATATTGGTTGTACTCTTGTATTAAATTATGTTGCATGAAAAGTAAACTAATTTAATTGTTCAATAAAATTTAACAATTACTGATCCCTAAATTATGTTTAAAATGATACAATAAATGTTTAGTGATTGCAACCAGCCAATAAACCATAGATAAATGCATAACAATAATATTTGGAGGACCATTCAGATGACCATACCATACTTAGTGTAAAGATCATTTGAATAACTAAAAATAGTAAAATATATAAATTATAATCTATTATAAGAAAAACTCAAGCTGTCATAACCATTATTTTCAGTTTAGGGCTATTTATTTCTTACTCAAATATTGCATACAATGTTACACCTTTTACATCTGATAATTGTAATTAATTAATATAGGTTATATAATATGTGTATTGTAAATAACGGTGAACAGTGGCGCCGAAGTGTTTAAAATATACTATGGCATTGAACAATCGAGAGGCCCCCATCACCATATTTTTAATTTCACAATCAGATGCAATCTCAAAGCACCTACAAAATGCAATGTGTAATCATTTATTTTTATGTTTTAACCTAAATTCTGGATCAACGGCAGGATCCCTTGCAGTACCCTACAATGCCCGCCCTCCCTTCATAAAAACTATATTATGACATTGACATATGTCATAGATAAATTAGGTGATCGGCGCCACTGACGGTAAGACATTCAATTGAAAATAATATTATTTGCCGGTAACTTTTTTACTTTACCTTATTTGATACGAAACTTAAAGAGATATCAGCGCAATGTTTGTTTTCTTTCTCTAATCCACGAGCAACATAGATAATACACATTTAGGCAGAATCATTTTTTTTTTTTATGTTTTTGAATAATCTTTGAGTAAAATCACTCATTACAAAATGTATAGAGAATAATATAGTTGACATATTCATTTGCCTAAATATTGTCTCAAAACCATTTAAATAATTTTTATTTTGGTAGTCAAATAATAATAAAATATAAATCTGATAGGTCAAACCCTCAAAAATAATATTGTCCTCTATAATTTTCGTTATAAAATCACTCAAAAATCATAAAAATTATTTTAGGTTAAAGTGTTTTATCTATATTGCGCATTGGTCTAAGAGAGAAAACAAATATTGCGTTGACATTTTCTTAATATTTATATTTGAAAATAATTTTGTATAATGGTGTTGATATAAAGTTCAATATTTACAGTTAAATTATGAATTATGATAATAGCAAAACAAGAACCTACCCTTTAATAGTAGTTAATTCAATTGGTTTACTTGTATTAGATATTAACTGTGTTTTAGGTTCTGTGCTAAGTGACAAATACACCTATTCAATTTAAAGTCTTTTTATTTTCAACATGATGTTCATCTCAGGTTTAACCTGCTTACACTAGAAAATTGGATCCAATTCATAATTGTAATTTTTTTTACAGTTTAATATGATGTACAATGAACTAGTTATATTTACATTTAAAAATACCATAGTTACATCTAATGATTACTAAAAGGAAATGTATCTACTTATAGAGCTTCTAAAATAAGTACTTCAGTAAAATTTTAATATTAACGGAGAAAAAATATTTTAAAATTAAAATAAGCACATTATAGTATAATTTGTTTAATTTTAGCTGATATCCAAAAAATAACGATATAATAAACAATTTAGCAAATGAACTTAAAAATAATTTTAACATTAATTACACATAATAATATTAATTTCATTTTATATAGTACAGTTGAGTCACAATAACTCAAACCTCAATTACTCAGTATTTTCTTGCCTCTCAAATGTTTATAGGTTATATTAATTGAGGTATTTAATTCGAGAAACATATGAGTTGAATTAATTTTTAACCCTCTCAAGGTTCAAGTTATCAAGACTTGACTGTGTACTTAAAATCTATCCATATTGGTATGGTAGATCTCAAGATATGCATTTGAATTACGTTTTAGAAATAAATACATCTAATATCAACAAATTCTAACTTACCCGGCAATAAGAGTAAACAGAATTTCAGATTTTGCACAGATATGTTCAACAGTAGGTGATCGGCTACCCAATTGCCGACGAAGAACATTGTTAAAAACTTGAGCAACGTCCTTTTTGCCCTGTAATGTTAAATAATATAATGTAAACAAATATATTTGAATTAAATTCTGTTTGAATTGCATACTTCAAAGTCTATTTTTGTCAAATTTTGTACCAACATCAGCAATAAATTGTTGTTATACATTTCTTGTGCTAACTGAGCAACAACAATATCAGACAAGGGCTCAGTATCTGCAGTTCCATATAATAAATTTTTTATGACTAAAAGATTCTTGCTAACATCTTCCTGTGCCTAAAAAATTATAATTATTAAAAATAATTATTAACAAAAAAGTAGTATAATCATGTACCTAATAAGAAATTTATATTTATTAATAGTTCAAGAACATTAAATAAAATTGCACTGAGAAAACCCAACAGTAAACTAAATTATTTCTTATTAATAGGTATTTAATTTACATAAATTGATCTACACTTTGATCTCTATGTAAATATTTAGCTACTTGATAATGTTCAATAAAACATATCGGGTGTCATTTGAAACATAATATAAATTACAATAAAGAAATACGATAAACCATAGATGTTTTATTTTATGAGACTTACACACTGAACATAATAAAAATAAATGAATAATCAAATGAAGTATAAAGCAAGTATGAAACCAACAAATTAAACTCATAATACTAATTAAAAACACATAAGAATATGATAGAAAAGAAAAATTGTTAGAAATGTTGACTGAAAAAAAAAAATTTAAATTACAATACCTATTAAAGTTAAAATATAGGTACTTACTTTTTCTAACTTTTTGTCTCCTTTTTCCAATGCAACCACAGCTTCTTTTATTTGTTTTACTACCTCCACTGGGTTTTTCTGTGATTTTCCAAATAACGGCATGTTTCTAAAATAAATAATACGATTCATATTATCTAAATATTATAACACTATTATAATTTATACGCATTTGATGGAAATAATAAATTATAAAAAATAAATGGATCACACTAAATATTTTTATCGCATTAGGAACCATGCTAATAAATAAGACCATAGTCTCTAAAAAACAATGCATACAATATGTAAAGGTATATTATCATAATATAGAGTTACAGCAAAAACAAAATGATGTATAATTAAGATAAGAGTTTTAAACATTATTGATGTTATCTTTTTGTGAAACATATTATTATAATATTAGGTACTTGTTATCTCTATGTAAATATTATTAATTTAAAAGTATTAATAATAAAAAATAATCATTAAAAGTAATAGATTCATTGATAATGGTTTTTGTTTTGTTAGGTATCTACTATACGTCCTGCCTACATTCAAAAAATAAAACAATTATTAATGTAAAATGAGGAATGATAAATGGTCTTCAATAAAATATTTTAATAATAATAAATTACAGTATTGTATAATATTTATCACTTTAAAATAGTGAATTATAAAAGCGTACAAAATGTATTAATTTCAAATTTATAATAAATAAAAAGCTTTTTAAAAGTTATATTATAGTAAATAGAGGAGATGTTAATCAGCTTGAAAGAGATCCAAATTTACTTATAAACAGAACAATTACTACAAGTTGCTTAAAAAATTACTATTATTACAAAGAAATAATTTACTAAGAACCAAAATATAAAAATGAAAATTTGATGAAAATGCAAATGAGATGGTTGCAAAACAAGTTATTTTCATTATTATTTGTATAGATAGCTTCACAATAAAGAATATTTGTTTATAAATATCAACCATTTCTGATTAAGTAGGTATATTGTTGTAAAATAATTAGCTCTTAGATTTCAGCATTAAGGTGATAAATTAGGACCTATAATAGACAAAGGAAGTTACATAATATTATGATAACTAAGGTAGTAACTGGCAATAGGTAATAAATAACGGACTACGCACTATAGATGATAATATAATTTAAACTTAAGTTAACAAACTTAAATGCCACAGTAGGTAAGTATATGACATATTAAGTTGAGATAATAGAGGATAGCCGACATGATATTTTTAAACTTGTTATGACTAATGAAAGGACAGCTGGTCACACAACAGTAGTCGAAGATGTTATAGATCCTCGGCTGTGGTTAGGCCTACATTGTTTGCACATACAATTATCAATCTAGGTGGGTACAGGCAAAAAATGTAAGCCACAAAGCACATTGGTACTCATCACTGGGACGGCAACAGAATGATGACAAATGTGTGGTCGGCTACATGCCACTGCAGACTCATCATCTTTGTTTACAACTAGATACTTACTCGTCGTTTGGGAACGGTGGCCTACCCAATCCAAGTACATTACACTCACCCGGTTAACATAAGACGTGCGGGATGCAGGTAGTATGGTTTTGGTGATGTCTTGAATGGAATAACGACGAAGTGCGTTTCCGACGGTCGTCGAGTCCGTTGGATGAAGCTCGCGAGTACGGATGACACAACTTGAACAACAACAAGAACAATATAATATTATTATAGCAATGAGCTTGTCGAAGAGGACCGTGGGCAATATCGCACCATCCGCAAACGATACCGTAAAAGATGCTTTTAATGCACTTAACCGAACTGTGCAACAATACGATCGCCAATATTATTATTATGTAGGTGTATTATTAGGAGAGAGAGCGAGCGTCCTTCCGTAATCTGTTGTTGTGTTTACTAATCACGTCCTGCAGTCGACGGTCGACGGCGATAACATTCAAATGTGTACAATATTATAATACTACGTGTGCATATGAAATATTATTATTATTTATTATTATGATTAACAGTACTAGACACTCACACGTCTATTGTACAGTACAATATTATTACTATTATTATTATATTGGTGCATAGAGATACGTCGCTATCGGCTTACACATGCCAAATATTTTCGAGTCGCGCGGCGTGCCTGCGCGTGTGTATGAAAAATGTGTGTGGTAAAATGCGAGCGTGCGTGAGTGTGTTCAGTAATCAGTGCTCACAGCAGTACAGCACGCACGCAGCCTGCAGCTGTGCTGCGGGCGTCGTGTTGTTATCATTAGTAAAACTAAATAGTAAAATACAATATTTAATTATTATTATTAACTGTTACTATCTGGTTTGAGAGGATGGGGAGGGGTCAAGAAAATAATAATATTATGATGAACGAGACGTGCATTTGTCACTTATTGACTCATTAGTTAGGTAATACTTATTACTTATCGCTAAATACTAATTACAATCCCCCCCGCACCACACTCACCAAACTGACCAAACCATAAAAAAGAGATTAACCATGGACCAAACGAATAATACCCAATTAAAAGATGGGGAGCGATGAATGGTTTAAAATATTTACAATTATGGGCTTTTTTAATTCAGAATTTCTATTGATATTGGTACTTTCTTGTTATGTGAGACTCACAATACTCTATGGCGAGACTATAGCTATTATCACGATTACCACTAGGAAGTAGGAGTTAGGACTGGAAGCCGGAAGGGTTTCGGCCCACTATTTTTTGTAAGCAACTGGCCCATTTTTCTACATTTATCAGCCCAACTTCAACTAACACAATATTATATTTTTTTCAATAGTATAGTACCTAGGTAGTACAAGAATTAGAATTTAGGAACTTTTTTATGTTGATTACAAAGAAAATGTAAAATATAGCTATCAATACATATAGGTATAAATCAGTTACACTAAGTAGCACTGTAACAGTATGACAAATTAAATCATATAAATTATATACCTATTTATGTAATTATGTGTACAATAATAATTTAGATAAAGTATGATAATATGAGTTTAATAATACCCAAAATATCTTCAACTTTCAAATCATTCAATATATCTTTTTCTATAGACATTAATAAAAAAGCAACTAAGCGGTTATTAAATAATGAAGCGTACCTATAGACAATTTTTGATAATTTTTAATTTTCTAATTACTCGTTCACAATTAACCTGAGTTAATAGCCGCAACTAGGGGGGGTTTGCCACCCTCAAAACTTGTAATAGCCCCTCCAAAAATTGTTTTCATTTGTTTCCTAAAATATTAATAAATCTTTAAAAATTAAACAGTATTTCTTACTTTTTTTGGGGGGAAAAATGTAAAATTATCTAATTTTTATTTAAACTTAACAATTATTTTATATTTCCTATGATAAATATGGTAAATATTATTAGCTGTATTCCTGTATTGGTTTCAAGGAAACGATTTATGTCGGTATATTGGTAAGCTTACACATAATTTTAATGAATTTGCACTGAACTAAAGTACAGTGAATTGCAGAATAAAAATCCCCGGAAAAGAACTCCCGACCAACAATCCCGGGAAAAAATCACTGACCATAGGAAAAAAACCCCCAGACTACAATGTTACTGACAGCTAGGTACATGAAATTGATTGATCCATTATTTTTAAAACTAATTAGTGCAATATTTATCATATTATTAATATTTAATTACAACTATATTATACTTACCTACTTTTCATTATAAAATTAAAATATTATAAATAATTTTTAAAAATTAACAATAACATTATTTTGTTTTCATATATATTTTCATATATCACAATTTTAAACAACATAATACCTATTATGTTAATAGTCTTTTTAAAAAATTATGTACCTGCTACCTACATTCATTGATTATTTGGATTATTTGACATTTCTATCATTCAAAATATTTTTATTTTTTATTTTATAATCTTTTAAATATTGTATCTATAAATAAAACTTGTAAAATCGACTACTACTAATAATAATTATTATTAATATTGACATTTTGCTTATCCTCAAAATATTATTAGGAAATGTAATATTTTATTTTGGGTATATATTATAATATAATATAAAACAAATTATTACTGTTAATGCCTGAAAATTATAATATAAATATTAAGAAATACCTAAGTTAAATTGTATTTAATATAGGTTAAGTACCTATATTAGGTACCTACCTACCTACCTACCTACCTATATATTTAAACTTTGAACATAGATTTGTTTATGTAGATTTACATTTATTTCTTGATAAAGGTAGATAATCTTATAAGGAATCTTGTACCACATTTTATAATCTTAGATTTAAAAAGAAAAATTTTGTACTCTAAATGCTTATAAAAAAAAACTGTGACTAAGGATTTTTAATATTTTTCATCTGCTTTTGAAACATTATACTAGAAGCCCTCTATTAAATTTTCAAGCTTTTTAAACCAACTAATAAAATTTTATTGATATTCATAAAAAAAAAAACTAATAAAATTGGAAATTGAAAATGTCCCTAAACAGTTCAAAATAAATCAAAATATTTTGAAAATGTTATCGTGTAAGTATAGAAAACGCAAATATAAACAACCGGTGAAAATTTCACTTATTTACTATCATTTGTTTTAAAGTTACACCAAAAACCAAAATCGATTTTCTCGAAAACAGATTTTAAGTAAAAAGTCCTGTTTTCCTTAATTTTTCTTTTGTTTTTCACGGCGCTTTTGAAAACTAATGTGAAATTTTTACTTTTGACCCCCTCAAAGTACCAACTAGATTCACTTCCCTATCAGAAAAGCTACTGTTTAAGAAAATCCAAGCACTTTTACTGTCCTAAAACGTGATGACAGACACAAAAAAAAAAAACACACATCATTGTAAAATCAATACATTCATCGTTTCACTCAGAATCTAAAACACACATCATGATGTCACATCAAGTCACTGATGTGTCACAAGATTCAATATGTCACTTAGAATCTAAAATATGGCAAATTATAATAAATCTTAAATTATTTGATCTTCAAAAAAAAGAAAAAAATATTTATATTAATATTTTACGTATTTGTTTACGTTACAAGACCTATTGCCCAAATTAAAAAATCAAATATAAAAGAAAAAAGAATATTGTTAGATCAGAAAAATAA